GGCGAAATCCATGGTTTGGTGGGCAGTATACGCGTACTGGGGGACGTCCGCAGCACGCCCCCCTGGCAGTATTTGCATGACACTGTCTGTTATCAACGGTGCAACAATATTGCCCGCAGCCTGCCACGCAGTCACAGAGGCGTGTCCTGGGGGGACTGCCTTGCACGGGGTGAGATGATTTAGGGCACGAAGGTACTCGTCCTTGGTGCAGTGAAAGGCCTCACAAAGAGCGGAGAGGTCTGGCCGAGCGTCAGCCTGAGCAAAAGTGGCTTGGCTGTAGGCTTGAAGTTGTGCGAGTTGGGCCTTTGGGCTTATGAGATGCCCCTCTGTGTTGCGCAACTGAATGCGCTGGCGCGGTTGTTTGCGCGCTAGTTGCTTGACAACGCGAAAGAGCCCATGATGGTCACCCTTGTGCTGGGTCTGCGCCTGCTGGATATAGTGCTCGTAGCGTTGCTTGCGAGCTTGACGATTAGCCTTGCGGGAGGCCCGAACAAGTCGCTGTAGTTTGGCCGCGTTGAGCCATTCCTTAAGGACAGCGTGCCCGCGCCGAATGGTGCGTGCTCGGAGCGCTTGTCTCGCCTGCCAAACAGTGTGTATGGCAGCTTTGACGTCCGGGTGGGACTCAGTAGGACGGGGTCTGACGCGAACCGGGGGAGGAAAGAACTTGAGGCTGGCTTGGTATATCAGAGCATCAAGCTGCTTTCTATCTGTGCCCGGAGACTGCTGGATACTCTGCGCGATGTAAGCTCTGTATTCCTGCATGATGGGTTGTTTCTGCTTGATGGCTGCGCGCATGTCATGCTCATCACATTTGGGCGGGGGCAGGCTGTGAGCAGGAGCACGCGAGAAGGCAGGAAGGTAGAAAATCGAGGCTAGAACCGGCAAGTGACGTCCACCACCTCTCCAGGAGGCGACCTTGAAGGCCCGGAGGGGCGAGGCATGTTTGGCTGGGCCAGCTGCGTTAGAACTACGGGTGATGATGTAGTCTATCTGCGAGGCAGCATTTGGTGCTTTGAACGTGTACGGCGAGCCTGAGTAGGTATTTAGCGCGCACAATGAGAACTCTTGCAGGATCCGCATAAAGAGGGTACTGTCAGTCTCTGAACGTTTCTTCGTGGTGGGCACGGCTGTGCCGGTACAAGCTGTATGAGGCTCAAGGGTGGTATTGAAATCACCCATGAGAACCAACATATTGCGCTGAGGCACCGCCGCAACAGCACGCCGAAGTTCATCCCAGAAGAGGCGGCGTTGTTTCAGAGTGTCTTGGACATTCTGAGGTCGCCACACAGTTTGGTATCCGTGCAAGATGTCTATGACCGAGTTTCTGACAGGGACGCGTGCATGGTGGAGACGACCCGGCACCAGAGTGCGATGTTGGATTTCGGCATCCTTGCACAGATGACTGTTGACCAGAAGGAGGAGGCCTGAGTTGCGGTCTGAGGCCGGCTCAGAAACAGCACGGTAGCCACTGATGGAAAACTCGGTTTCACCACCTGCGGGCCAATGCGTCTCTTGGACACTAACGACGTCTGGCTTAAGGTGCTGGGGCTGCTCTGACAACCACAGTTTGAGTTCATCAAAGACCTGGGCCTGGCAGCCGCCGGCATTCCACGTCATCAAGCGCAGGCGGCGACTGTTTCCTGACTTGGGTTGCTGTGGGCCGTGATCGGCACGCCGCTCAGGGCTCAAGGCAGAGCAAGGACGACCGAGGAGGGTCTGGGTAGTATGCAAGATACCTCTGTACTCGGTAATACCCTTGAGGGCAGCGCGACGAAGGGCACGCTTGAACGCCCGCTTCTGTATCCAGCCTGGGAAAGGTACAGCTGACGTGGTCTGAGGCGCATGGGCAGCAGCTGTGGGATGGATCTGCGCCAGCAAGGCTAAGCCCCCCAGAGCAAGTGAGCAGATATGAGGCCGCGGCTGTGTTTGTGCTGGGGAAGACATGGGCCTGAGAGACGCGGACAGATCGTCCGGAAACACGTTAAGCGCACGGTCACAAAGCTTCACTCCTTGTTGTGGAGAGATGCAAATCGTTGCATGGTGAGTTCCTAGGTCCCCTGTGGGAGACCTAACCCTCGTGTCTGGGGAAGGGGTATCGTGTGAGGATTTATAAGCGTGCGAATCATCCCCCCCCCCCCCCGGAGTTGGGACCGGGGCAGCTACAGATCGCTCGGGGTCGGACAGTCGGCGCGGTGGGCCCGCAGAGACTGTACAAACATGAAAGGGTTCGGCAAGCAAGCGTCGGATAGACTACGCTGGTTTGAAGCCAAGGGTGGGCTGCAGGGGCAATGACAAGTGAGAAGCCATCTGGCCAAAACAACCTGCAAGAAAGAGACCCAGCTGTTTTCAGGTTCACATCATCAGGCCGTCTGTCTGGCGCGAGCGTCGCGCGCCTGAGGGCTTGAATACTTTCAGCTCGCAGTGAAGAAGACAGCTCATCTGCATCAAGCCAGCAGGGGGTCCACTGAGCTTTAAACATAACCTGAAGGCGCCAGCGGCCAACGCAGTTACGGGCAGGGCCTGAGCTCAGCTTAGATGCGCAAGGCCAGTGGTAGCTAGGCAGTGGCCTGGCTGATTTGTCGGTCCCGACAGGACCGGGGCAGCACGCGTGACCGCATTGCCACCAGAGGAAACCCATGTTCAGCATGGTTTGCCCTGGCTGGTAAGGCAGCAGCCAGTTAAGCATGGTCCGAACCCAGCTGTACCGAGGCGTTAAGGATTCGACACAACGACGACAACGGCGGCCCCGGCAGGTGAGCCATCGGAACCTGGCCCAAGGGTGGCTACGACATGATTTGCCGGCACAAAGACTAGCAGGAATGTAGCAGGGGGTCGCAGAACATGCTCGCTGCTCACAGTTTCGCATGTGGAGTATGTACCTCTGCGTCGGCGCTGTTACGTGGTACTGCATACATTTACTGTAAGTGCATGAGCGGAGTGCTTCAGTTGCAGCACACACGGTGGCCTCCATGGCCCGCGGAGCTGCTGCGAGCGGTTTGGCAGCCAGTGGCCAACGCTGGGCCCGTGTCACTTGGGCTGCATATGCTAGGCTGCACGCGAGCGACGGCCTCATCCCTTCAATGACCTCCACTACGCTGCTGGCGCAGGCAACCGCACCCATATGGCCCAGTACACTTCGCACACTGCTCAAAAGGGCAACGGTAGCTTTTTCACCTGTGGGTAGCGAAAACGGAACCCGAAAAAGTGTCCCATGTGCAACAGTCATGCACACCGCGGTCAAGGTGAATACTTGTGACCTAACATGAGGCAATGCGGCACTCAGGACTGCATGAACGTTACTTGGGCTCTGTTTAAGGGGGTGAGTCCACGAGGCACCTGGCTTCGCATGACAGTGTTGCGGGGCCGTCCTGACATGTGGCACGATGTACGCAGTGGGGGTGAAAAGGAGGGGTGACCTAAGAACCAACAGTCGACTAGGGGAACTCAAGCACGGCAGGTGACTATGAGGGGTACAACCGCAACGCTGCCTTGCTAAGGTGAGCGGCCTAGTGCCTCCTACAGGCGGAAAACATGTAGGCATCATCCGCGAGGGCCTGCGTTCGACCTCGGCGTCGCCACTGCAGCGCCGGCTCATAGAAGGCATTGGCCAGCCTTTTCCCTGCCACTGCCCCCCGCAAGGATGCGGCCACATATCCAGCCAGCGCAGCGCCCGTTTTCCATACATTCCGCAGATGGTCCCCGAGCAGCTGGAACACAGCCAAGTCGCACATGAGAGGCAGGCCGGTGGTCTGTGCAACACCACACCATCAGAGCTTGAGTTCGGAAAGCGGCTGTCGGTACACGGCCAGCGCGACACCATGGTCCCTCGTTGCACGACTCCAGCGCGGGGGCAGCCTGCGCAATGTATCTTCGACCCACACGTTGTGTGCCAGGCGGCACTGACGTTGTCCGAACATGTAGCCCAGGGCTTCAGAAACACAGTCCATGAGGAAGAGCCTTGCGAACCCAAGCCTGGCATCGGCAGTTGCGAAAGCATGATCCACCATGTTGCGATCATCCAGCTCAGCATACTCCAGATTGCGCCCATACTATGCGCCGAAGGTGCAGCGAAAAGGAGGTTACCCTTGCACACGGCAGCAAGGGGTCACCCCTATGGCGGCGGACGATCGGAGAAACCAACCCCAAACAAGCACCCAAAGAAGCAGCACCCCCACGAACCCCGAAGCCAGAACCCAGCCAAGAAAACAGGGGCCCGAGCGGTTCGAGCCGAGACACTTTGAAACCCTAAACCCTAAACCCTGAAACCCTGAAACCCTGAAACCCTGAAACCCTGAAACCCTGAAACCCTGAAACCCTGAAACCCTGAAACCCTGAAACCCTGAAACCCTGAAACCCTGAAACCCTGAAACCCTGAAACCCTGAAACCCTGAAACCCTGAAACCCTGAAACCCTGAAACCCTGAAACCCTGAAACCCTGAAACCTGAAACCCTGAAACCCTGAAACCCTGAAACCCTGAAAACCCTGAAACCCTGAAACCCTGAAACCCTGAAACCCTGAAACCCTGAAACCCTGAAACCCTGAAACCCTGGAAAACCCTGAAACCCTGAAACCCTGAAACCCTGAAACCTGAAACCCTGAAACCCTGAAACCCTGAAACCCTGAAACCCTGAAACCCTGAAACCCTGAAACCCTGAAACCCTGAAACCCTGAAACCCTGAAACCCTGAAACCCTGAAACCCTGAAACCCTGAAACCCTGAAACCCTGAAACCCTGAAACCTCAAACCCTGAAACCCTGAAACCCTGAAACCTCAAACCCTGAAACCCTGAAACCTCAAACCCTGAAACCCTGAACTCGAAATCCTGAAACCCTGAACTCCAAGCCCTAAAACCTTGAAGCCCAAACCCTGAAACCCTGAACCCCAAAACCCCATAGCCCCAGAACCCTAAGCCCTAGACCCTAAGCCCTAACTCATAACCCTAAACCCTAAACCCTAAACCCTAAACCCTAAACCCTAAACCCCCTTTATCCCAAGGGGCAGGTCTCAGCTCGCCAGCCTTCCGCAGCGGCACGGAAGCCCTAGGCGGGTCCCGTCAAGTTTCCCGAAGACCCGAATGCTCCGGAATCAAAGTTTGGAAAGGCTCGGCGGTCGCCAAAGTCAAGCTCGGTGAGGGCTTCGAAGGCTTAGAGTGTTTAGGGTTAGGGTTTAGGGTTTAGAGTTGGGACTTGGGGCTTCGGGTTTAGGCCCCAAAACCCAAAGTTAACCCTCAAACCCCAACACGAGCTATCAGCCCCCCGAACTTCCGACGAGACCTCGCTGGCTGGTCTGTGGATTTACGGCATGGGAAAAAGTGCAAGGTTTCAGGCTTACTCGTGTGGGATTGGGGTTTTAGGGTTCAAGGTTGGGGCTTTAAGGGTTGCAAGAACTGAGGGTGTAAAATTTGGGTTGAGGCTTTCGGTTTTTTTTTGGATTGAGTAAAGCTTCTCTCAAGGCTTCAGGGCTTTAGATGGCCTCCTTGCGGGTTTCATCGTTTGCGATGGCGTCGGCCCAGTTGTACCGGATGACGACCTGGGTGCAAGCTTCGGCTCAAGGCTACATAATGGAAGATCGTAGGATCTAACCTTATATATATATATATACATATGTATATATGAATCTCATATCTTATATATCATATTGCAGGATAAACATATGCATTGTATACATATATATATATATATATAAATATGTGGGGGGGGGGGGGGGGGGGCCATGAGCGGGCTCAAGATGGCTCCTCAAAACATGTGGTCCCTGCTTGGGTAGCTTAAATATCAGGGGCCAGATTCACAAAAACAAAAAACAGGCACCCTAACTCAGGGAACCTAACATCAGCATTTTAGAGCCCATGGTCGGGTCTTCTGGTTGGCTCTTGTTGCAACCCAGCACCTAGCCACCTGATCTGCTACTGTGTTGCCGTCCTGCTCTGTAAGGGTATAGTGGAGTTCAAAGGCCTCACCCGTCATAGAGTGAGCTCTCAAATTGCCTGGCATGCCCCACCTACTTGTCGCAAGGAGCAGGGGCTCCATTGCAGCCCCAGGCTGGCAGCTATGGAAGACCATGAGAAAGACCTGAAGACGGTGTCCGTTGCCAGAGATACTCTGCCAACTAAACCCTCAGAGCGGAGCGGCGTAGTCCTCCCACTGGTCGATCATGCCCTCCGGGGCCACGGTGGTGCGCTCGCTCCAGGCGCGGCCGTGGTTGCAGTCGGGGCACAGCCTGGAGCCCGACCCAAGGCAGAGGCTTCGTGGTTTAGGGTTTAGGGTTTAGGTTTAGGTTTAGGGTTTAGGGTTTAGGGTTTTAGGGTTTAGGTTTTAGGGTTTAGGGTTTAGGGCTCAGGGTTCAGGGTTTAGGGTTTAGGGTTTCCAGCGGAACCTGAGGACTGCGGGACGCGAAGTATACAAAGTAACGCAAGCTTGAAAATGTTGGGGGCGGAGGCAGGGGGGCGAGGGGGCGAACTTCCTGACTGGCAGGGGAGCTGTTTGTGCGAGCGCCGCGCGCTTCGGTGTTTCGGCTTGGTTGCCTCATATCAACCAACGGCCTGGATAGGAACATGTTTCTAGATATATATATATATATGTATATATAGATATACATACGTATATGTGTAGGAATATGAACTGGGATCGTATATCAACATATATATATATACATATTCATGTTCTACAACTTAGTATACAATACATCTTTATTTTTTGCATCATGCCTCCTTGGTGAACAGTCATCACCAAGCTGGTCTGTTTGGTTCAGGCGAGGGGTCTACAATCGGCGGAACTTGCCTAAGGGGCCTTCGACTCTGCACCTCGATAGCTTTGGAAGTTCGTAGCTCTTGGGCTCCTTTTTCTTTGCGAATACAATATATCATCTATCATGTAGAATAATCATACGCATGTATAACATACTCAATTACTCATTACACATTCACACACACAGATATATATATATATATATATATTCACACACACAGATATTTATACATATATATATATATTCTATATATACACAAATATATATATATATATATATATGGTACCCCCCCCAAGTACCTAGGTCTCATTTTCTTCCCTGTCTCAGGTACCGGCCTCAGATGACTTGCCTCTTGTAGGGTTTAGGGTTTAGGAGTGAAAGTGCTGTACTGCCCCTAAAAAACCAATCCCAGAAGCTGAAAGTGCTGTACTGTCCCTAAAAAACCTAAAAAACCAATTCTGGAGGCCTATCAAGACAGGCCCTCCTCAAAAGATTGGTTTTTTAGGGACAGTACGGCACTTCGAAGGCCTGAGGTGCTGAAAGTGCTGTACTGTCCCTCAAAAACCAATCCCAGAAGCAGAAAGTGCTGCACTGTCCCTAAAAAACCTAAAAAACCAATTCTGGTGGCCTATACAGACAGGCCCTCTTCCAAAGATTGGTTTTTTAGGGACAGTACGGCACTTTGAAGGCCTGAGGTGCTGAAAGTGCTGTACTGTTCCTAAAAAACCAATCCCAGAAGCAGAAAGTGCCGTACTGTCCCTAAAAAACCTAAAAAACCAATTCTGGTGGCCTATACAGACAGGCCCTCTTCCAAAGATTGGTTTTTTAGGGACAGTACGGCACTTTGAAGGCCTGAGGTGCTGAAAGTGCTGTACTGTCCCTAAAAAACCAATCTTTTCGTGAGGGTCTACCTGTATAGGCCTCCAGAATTGGTTTTTTAGGTTTTTTAGGGACAGTACGGCACTTTCTGCTTCTGGGATTGGTTTTTTAGGGACAGTGCGGCACTTTGAAGGCCTGAGGTGCTGAAAGTGCTGTACTGTCCCTAAAAACCAATCTTTTGAAGAGGGGCTGCCTGTACAGGTCCCCAGAATTGGATTTTTAGGTTGTTTAGGGACAGTACGGCGTTTTCAGCTTCTGGGATTGCTTTGTTAGGGACAGTACAGCACTTTCAGCCCTTCAGATCCCCAGAGTGCTGTACTGTGCCTAAAAAACCAATCTTTTCGTGACGGCCTGCCTTGTAATTATAGGCCTCCAGAATTGGTTTTGTTTGTTCGGAGAGCACAGTTCAGCAGCAATAAAGCTAATTCAACTATTTGTTAAAAACTGTGATGTAAGTAACATTTTATCTAATCGATGTAATGCCTAAATGACGCGACGAGGTCAAGTTTCCTGATAAGTAGGCTTTAATTAATCTAATTTGCTTTACAGCTGTCATTCATTTAGTCTGGTTGAGGTTGAAGTAAAAAAAAAGGATAGACATTTGGTTAGTTGAATGCTATCTACCTCTTAGAATAAGAAACTAAATGTAGTTTTTTCTTGGGAAGGCCTATTAAAGTATTCGTTTAAAGTAATTAATCTAGTCAGGCTGAACCAATTGAATTGTTGTTAAGGATCGTGGCTTGTTTAATTTAAATTATCGAATTCGTTTAGTTAAGGGTATACTAATTAGTTTCATTCATTTGCTTCACCTTTAAGTAAACTAAATCCACAATTGAAATGATTTTGACTACATTAATATCAGCAAACAAAAGGCCGTAGTTACTGTTCTTAGTAAGTTTAGTTCATTGAATTCCTTTAGTTAATTATTATTATTGGTCTACGAACTCAATTTATTTACTTAACCCTTCAGAAGACTAATCAAATTGTTGGAAAGACTTTACGTATGTTATTTTCCAGAAACGAAAACTTTAGTTAAATTAAGTACTGTGCTTGTTCACGAAAAGAAGAAGGAACATGTTTTAGCTCATTCAATGAATGCTTAAGTGAAGCCATTAGGTCAGGTTCCCTATTACGCATTATGTTTTAATTAATGTAGTGTATGAACAAGTTTAATTACAGGCCTGTCTTTTCTAGCACAGAAGCAAAAACACCTTCAGAAGACTAATCCAACTGTTGGAAAGAGTGTACGTATGTTATTTTCCAGAAACGAAAAACTTTAGTTAAATTAAGTACTGTGCTTGTTCACGAAAAGAAGAATGAAGCCACTAGGTCAGGTTCCCTATTACGCATTATGTTTTAATTAATGTAGTGTATGAACACGTTTAATTACAGGCCTGTCTTTTCTAGCACAGAAGCAAAAACACGTGTAACATGATTCCGTCGCACGCTGTGTTGCACTGCTTGCTGCGTCTGTCGCCTATGTGTTGGGCAGTATCCTCCATTCCGTTCATGCGATTCAAAAAACACGTTTTTTAGTAAATCCTACGAAAAACACACTCTTTTTTAAGTAAAACCTAGGCGCTACGGGGGGGGGGGTAGCATATATATATATATATATATTTCTATATATAAGTAGTAATTTATACAGATATACTAAAGTATATAAATAAATAAATAATATATATATATATATGTATATGTGTATATATATATATGTATTTATTGATTTATTTATTATGGATTATACTATTATGTAACCCTCAACCATCAGAACCCCTCACCCCGAAAGCCTAGACCCCTAAACTTTAAAGCGTGCTCAGCCCTGGCCGCGCCTGTCATAGTTGGGGTCTTGGCCGGCCCTTGTCTGCACCAGGCCGGCGTCCTGAGGCTGCGCGGGCGCGAGCAGGTTGGCGCCCAAACCCTTACACCCCAGCCCGAGAAACTAGGGGGGGGGCCTTTCTGACATATCTCAGAGCGCCCCAAGCCTTCAGGGTGCGAGGGTTTCAGGCCGTAAGGATGGATTCAGGGTTTCAAGCTTTAGGGGGGATCAGGGGTCAGGCGGGATCAGGGTTTCAGGCTTCCGGGTTCAGGGTTTCAGGGCTCAGGGTTTCACGGTGCAAGGTTTCGAGTGCTGAAAGCGGCCCATCGAGATGCCAAAGATCCTTCGAAACAGGCAGAGGCACCAAGCAGCGCCCCCGACGCGCAACAAGAAAGAACTACAAAGAAGCTGCGAACGATCGGACCGAAACGCCATTCGACCCTGGCAAAAGCAAGAATTAAGCAGCGAGTGCACCCGAAACCCTAAACCCTACGGGTCGCAGGTCGCAAGTAGGGTAACTACATCGAATCGGTTCGGGCCTGTGCTTGACAACCTGCTACCCATGATCCCAGGCCTGTGCCATTTCCTCCGTGTCCTCCATCTGCCCAAGATGCCTCCGATTGGGGCTGGTCCGGCTTTCTGCAGCTTCTGCCGCTTCCCTTTGTTCTATCGTGTATGTGGGCTGCCAGCACACATGTCGCAGTCATGCAATGGAACGTGCGAATGTGGCCCCTGAACCCGGCCCCCCGCATGCTTGCAGCACCCCAGTGACATCAGACATAGCCAGTCGCTAAGGCTTCTGGCGTGCATCCACACCACCAAGGAGAATCAACCACTACTTGTGAGGGCTGAGGACCTGGCCAGCTCCTACTTCTGAGGGCGAACTGACAAATCCAAGATGCAAACCGATCCGGACCACTTGGCAGGACCATGAAAACAATGCGGCTCGCGTATGCAAGACATAGCCACGCCGCTGAAAACCTTGATTTCGCGCCAAGTTTGCCTACGGAGATTCAAAGAAAGCAACCGCATTCAGATATAGGATTTAACATGCCACACATACATTGAAAGGCGCACACACATGCGTGTGTAAAAAATACAAATAAAACTGAACATAAGGAGAACTATATCAGGTACATGAAACATCGCAAAGTGGTTTGCCTTCGTCATGCCACTTTCCAGTACTGCAACAGCCCCATCCATCTTAAAACATGGCATTTGAACCAGTATCATTTGAGATGGCCCATGTGTCGCCCTGCCGTATGTACAGGCGGGCTCGCATTCAGGACAGTCTTTCACAGACATTCACTCCATAAGGGGGGGGAATATACGTACTTCTTCAGGCTCCTCTACTGCCCACCCCCTTGTCCCTCGGCGCCTGCCCGCCACAATCGAGGCGATGTAAGCGCTGCTCGAGCCCGAACTCTCGAGCAGGTGGGGCGGCACCTTATCCACACGATGAAGAGCAACATCGACCAGCAAACGACGCGGTCTCTAAGAAGTCAAAGGCTCATGCTTACTCCCCAATGGCCACCAATGGCCCGAGCATAAGAACCTACATGTTTGGACTGCTGAGGGAACAGCTTCCTTGATTGCTGCAGCTCCTACGAAGCCCCAGAGCCTGGGCGATTTTGGGGGTTGACATTGCTGTGAGCAGGATGAGAAGCATGCGAGCTTAGGAGCATTAGGGGTTTGGGGATGGATGGTCGAGGTCTTGTTGCTCCGGGTCCCGAGGCAGATGCGCGCCCAGGCACCGAGCCACCCGACACGAACGGGCCTGAGAGAAGGCGGAGGATTTTAGCTTCGGCTTTGGGGTGTAGGTCCTTGCGGTTTAAATTACAGTTCATTTCATCATGTAGGGCTGACGGAGGTTCGGGGAGGGATGTTGGGGGGGGGATGGAGGAATCACCTTTGCGATCCGCAAGCCAGGTGGGCTGTGGCTTTCGGGTTCGGGCGGCGGCACGCATGAGCATCCCGGTTCAAAGGCCAGAAGCGCTCTCGCTCTCGCTCTCTCGCTCTCTCGCTCTCTCGCTCTCTCGCTCTCTCGCTCTCTCGCTCTCTCGCTCTCTCGCTCTCTCGCTCTCTCTCTCTCTCTCTCTCTCTCTCTCTCTCTCTAGCTCCCAAGTCCTCAGCAGCTAAGATGCTGTTAGGGTTTTTTGGGGTTTAGGGTTTTGCAAGCCAGATGGCCATCACTCACCACGCACATGAGGCCCCCGCCTTTCCAGCGGTAGACTCGCATTGGGCAGTTGCCATCCTCCAGGTGCAGAGACTCGCATGCGGGGGACCCTTGAAGACTACCTTTTTAGGGGCCTGAATTAGAGTCGGGTTTTTGGGGTTCTTATAGAAATAAGATAGAACAGGGTGTAGTATAGTATAGTTATATAGGAGACGTAAGGGAATACCATTCGTATTTCTTCCGACCCCTATATTGCGCCTTCGGTCTCGGGTTGGCGAGTGCGTTTTGGACGTGGGGCTGTGCCTCAATTTGGGCTCTCAGGGGCTTGGGCTGAAAGCGTGGGGCAAAAGCAAAAGCGTCACCTGCAAAGGCCTGCAGCGTGAACACCTAATGCTTGGGATGTTCCCCCTTTATGGCAACAGTCCTTAATAGGGATTACAGTAGGGGGTACGAGAATCCCTATTCAGGACTGTGTCAGTATAAGGGGCATCCCAAGGAAATGCTCAGGGTATTTAGAGCGGGGGAGGAAGGGGGGGGAGGGCCATTGCTATGGGGCCGAAGACTTCAAAACTGACAAAAAAAAACTGCTCTTGTAAGAACCCCCCTTGTTAAAAACACCAATGCAGGGGCCTCCAGGCAGTCGCTCTGCATCTTGGGAAGCTGGAGTCCCGGCCGCGCCTTCTTCGCTTGCGTTTTTTTGGAGGCGGCTTCGAGAGAGAGATGTGTTTTTTTGCTGTCCCCCCAAAAAAACTGCTGACTGACACACACACACACAAACAAAAACACCCCCAAGCTCTCAAAAGTTGCCGTTCCCGGGCCTTTTTGCCACCCCAGACCTCGGAGAGCAGAGGAGTAAGGCTCCCACGGGTGCTTCGCAGGAGCCAAGGTTTGCAGTAGAGAACCAGCTCTAGAACCCCAAGAAAGCCACAGCAAGGGGATTCTACAAAGAGGGGCCTCCAGAAAAAGCCGCCTTTCTAGGGGGCCCCTTCTACCCCGATGGTAGGACCCTTATGTTTATCGGGTTTTTGTGGGCCCGTGAATTTGAGCTCCGGCCTCCAAAGTGCCAAAACTCCAAACATCGGATCCGTGCTGAAGACTCCTTCGTCAACCCTTTGAGAACCCGTCAAAAAGAGACCCTGAAGCCCTAAAACCCAAGCTTTTTTTAACTCAAAAACCCCCAAAACCCCCAGATCCTGAAGCTGTCACACCCGAGATCTCGAAGCCCGGAAGCCCGCTTAGGGAGCACCGGGGCGCGTGGTTCATGGCGGACGCGCCGCACCGGCACTCCACGCCTGGTCGAATAACCCTTGGGGTAGTAGAAGGTCAGACTTCGGGGGGCTCTTTAGGGCTTCCAGTGCTGAGGTTTCCTGGTGGTCCGACACCCTAAACCGTAGGCCTAAACCCTAAGTCCCTGACCTCCTGAACCCAAAAAAGTGGCATGAGAATCTTAGGCGGGACTTTTGAGCCGCCTTCGAGTACCCGACCTTGCCGGCTCTTGCTAGGGGACTGGGGGGCGAGTTTTGGTACCATCTGTTAATGGGCCCTTTTACAGGGTTGAGGGGTTTAAGGGGCTTAGGATTTAGGGGGTGTAAGGGTTTAGGGGTAAAGCTTAGGGTTTCGTGTTGAGGGGGGTTTAGGGATTGTTTAGGATTCAAAATCGAGCACCCAGCTCCCACTCGTGTCTTCGGAACCAGCAGAGGAGATGCCTTGAACCACCGCGAAAAGGTCCAAACCCTCGCCGATGCAAAACCTTAGTTGGTTCTTTCTGTGGGGGGGGGGGGATTGGAGGCACTTCCACAAAGTGCTACCGAGATGGAGCCTCCAGCATGTGCTTGATTCACGACGTCAAAAAAGCTTTAGGCGAATGGGGGCGTGCCAATATCCAAGATTGGGGGGGTTATACACGGGTCCGAATATGAAGGCCCCTAAGCCCTAAACACGAAACCCTGAATTCGGGAGTGTTTGGGCCTTTTCTTTGAAGGGGGGAAGAACAGCCTGGAGCGTTCGAGACCACAGTCCCGGGCCTCTCCCGGAGAGCCGGGTCGCTCGAAGCAGAGGGCGGGGGTCATGGCATTGCTGCGCATGCGGAAGAACCTGGGCTTTGTAGGGTTTAGGGCTCTTCGTGGCCCTGAATGGGGGTTGTTTGGCTTTGGGCTTCAGGGTTTGGGCTATGTAACCGCCCTCAGGTTCGTCATTGCAAGAACATGGAATCCGCTAAACGCTAATTCTATTGGGGAAAACGGTCTGAGTCCAGCGCTCAACGAATGCCGAGCTGGAGACGCCGAGCTTTGTCACTAGATAATGGTGGAACCCTAACCCGATCCAATTGCTCAAACATCAATGCGTTTGGGGACCTTCATACCAACTTTTTTGGGTTAGCCTGAGGGATTCTGGGAGCCCTTTACAAAGCTCTGCCCTGGCATCCTCGCAGTGAGCCCTTTGCGGTCCTTTAAGCTCCCGGAGTCCCGCCTGGGCTTCGAAGACCCCTGAACTCCTGAGGTTCTGGAGGCCCCTGAGCCTGGGTTGTGGCAGGTCTTCGACACGGTCGATGAAAGAGAAAAGCAACAATGGAAGGCCGGAGACGTCCCCCGTGCAGAACCTTCATTTTCGCACGGATGCTTCTAATGTCCTTCAGAGGACAAGGTCTTTAGGCCAGCAGGTTTTCACCATGCACCTTGGCATTCCAGAGTCGATGAGAAAAAGCAAAGCAAGGGACGTCCCCCCACCGCAAAACCTGAGTTTTCTCCCGAAAACTGGTGCCGCCTTCATCTTTTTATGGTCAAGCTCCGAGGGTGCAAGCTAAAAACCCAAGCAGAGCGTCTGCTGCAGAGGTATGCAAGACTGGTTTGGGTTCGGCTGGCTCCGACGGGCTTCATTCTGAGGAGTGTTTGGGCGGCCTTGGGGTGGGCATGTTTGCATACATCTGCACACTCACCAGCGCGCGATCTTGGCAAGAACGCCCTAAAACCTAAACCCTAAGCAATAAACCCTAAACCCTGAACCCTCAACATTGAAGCCTAATTCCAGAAACCCCTAGAAACCCCTGAAACCCCTGAAACCGTAAGCCGAGATGCGGCATCCCACCGTTGCAGGGCGTGCCATCCGCGTGGTCGATGCACTTTGCGTCAGCGACCTGGACATCCTCGCGTGCCCAACCCCCTCCTTCTTTCCCGTGCTGGAGGATTAGGGTTTGAGGTTTAGGGTTTAGGGTTTAGAGTTTGGGGTTTAGGGCTTAGGCTTTAGGTTTCAGGGCTCAAGGGGCTTAAGGGGTTTTAGCGGGGGTTGTTCCGGTTTCTTGGGGGCTTTGGGGGCTTTTTATAAATGGATTCAGGGGGTTTTGGAGTCGAGGAGACGGAAGCTCCGAGATCTACTTGGCGGTCCTTGTTCTCCAGAAGCTCAGCTTCACTTTCCGCTGCGCCTCCCAAGCCCTAAACCATCCTAGACCCCATGGCCAACTTGTCCAACTTGTGGCGACTGGTGGTTGGGTGAGAAAATGCCGCTCCCAGCCTTGACGGGTTTGGTGGAGGGCTTAGGGATTGATTTGGGTGGAGAGCTTCGTGATGCATGGCTCGATTTCCCAGGCCGGGTCGCCAGCGGGTTCGCTGGTGAAGGCTTGCACAGTGGGCCAGCAGCTTCATTGGGCAAAGGGATCTCAGCTGGTCTCGATCCGAACTTGATGAAGCTGCTAGACCATCGCACAGCACCCCTCCCACTACATCCACCTCCGTGCCCCCGGAGCTCACGTCGAACTCAGATCTGCAACAGGAAAGCGTATGTGCGATGGTGATGTCTGTAATACTGCGCGTCCGAATCTGACCCGAGGACATCGAACACCTTGAGCTCTTAAAGGGTTCATGGTCCAAAAACCTTGATAGGGATTATAGTAGCAAAGGGTAAAGGGCCCCAACTTTGGGGGGTTCATGTGGCCCCCAAAATAGTCCCAGGAACAGGACATCTGCGCCCCTGTCTCGCGCCTAGCGGAAAGCAGCCCAGGCATTCAAAGTTGCCGTCATCCTCGTTGTCCACGGTGTCTTCGCCTCGGCGGGCTTGAGGGTTTAGGGTTTGGGGTTTAGGGTTGAGGGCTTCAGGTGTGCCACCACTTGCACCTCTGTCTTTACCCTACTCCCGATGCAGATCATCCTTGTGGGGTGTACAAGGATCTCCTACATTGGCCAGCGAAAGCGGAAGATTAGGACTCCCTTTTTGTGGATCCTCGGCTAGGCCTAATGGAGGAGATGGGTATTTTTGGCAGTTTGCATTGTAGCTAGACGGGGATTAGAGGGGGAGAGTGTTGGTGAGTCTTGCAGCTTCCGTAGTATTGCATCCCTTCAAGGCTTCCAAGCCCCCAGAGCCCCTACAGGGCCGTTCCTTGCATCTTGCGCTTTTCTCAGAGCAGCCCGAAGCCCGAAGCCCGAAGCCCGAAGCCCGAAGCCCGAAGCCCGAAGCCCGAAGCCCGAAGCCCGAAGCCCGAAGCCCGAAGCCCGAAGCCCGAAGCCCGAACCCTATACGCCCTGTGAATCCCTTGAACCCTGTTTATTCAACACGAAGTTGAGGCCCTAGTTCGGAAGTGAGCTCCGCTCTGTTGGGCGCCGCGCTCTCTGGCAATACGTCTTTGCATACCTCGAGGCTGGGGGGGGGGGGGGGGGAGAGCTTTCAAAACGAGGGCCCCTGTTTTGTAAGGGTTTAGGGTTGTGGGTTTTTAGGGTTTCTAGGGTTTAGCACCAGTGAGACAGCCCTGGGAGCGTCCAGGTGAGGGGTGCCCAGAGCTGCACGAAACGGGAGCCCGATGAAGCCCCTAATATCCCTAACCTCATAACCTAATAACCGAATGACCCTAATAGCCCTAATAACCCAAATAACCCGAATAACCCTAATAATCCCAATAACCTACTGAGCCTAATGCCCCTAATAACCCTGTTTACCCTCGTAAAATCATCCCTCCCTAATGATCCGATGACTAGGTCATTCCTCAGAAAGTCCAAGGGAATAAGAAGCTCAAATGTCAATCACTGTATGTGCTTCTTAGGCTTCGAGAGGGGTACAATACAGGAGTCTAAGCAAAAAAACAACTTCTCCCCTAACCCAATATCATTGCAAATGCCCATGCTCCTTTTGCAGGCCCCTCCATTTCGTTGGGTTTGGAGTTGACATCCAAACTCAGAGACCCGAACCCGACCCGAACCCGAACCCGAACCCGAACCCGAACCCGAACCCGAACCCGAACCCGAACCCGAACCCGAACCCGAACCCGAACCCGAACCCGAACCCGAACCCGAACCCGAACCCGAACCCGAACCCGTCTCAACCCCGAACTCCCTTAAGTTTGCGGCTTGGGGGAAACGGCATGCTTGTCTAGGGTGTTGGAGAGTCTTGGAGAAGGAAGGGGAGGGGGAGGGGGAGGGGGAGGGGGAGAGGGAGAGGGAGAGGGAGAGAGGGAGAGGGAGAGGGAGAGGGAGCAGGAGCGGGAGCGGGAGCGGGTGCGGGAGCGAGATCAGGAGAGGGAGCGGGAGAGGCAGCGGGAGAGGCAGCGGGAGCGGGAGCGGGAGAGGGAGAGGGAGAGGGAGAGCGAAAGAGAGAGAGAGAGAGAGAGAGAGAGCGCTCGCCTTGTCATCGCAGAAGAGGACACCGCAGCCACAGTGCCTTGGGGAGATTTAACACGGATTGCGGGGGTACAGGGTGAGGTCGTCAGCATTTCTTGGCTTGAGGACAATGGGGCGTCGGGGCAGGGTGCTGGGGCCGTGTCTCGTGGGGCAGGCGGCAGTGCTTAGAGTTCTCAGTCTGACCTGACCTGGCCCTGTCAAATTTTGAATGGCTCAACAGTCCGGGCACGGGACGTTCATGGCTTGGGCTGGGCTCAGGGGCTCAGCATTCTCTGGAGAAACCCTAAACCCTAAACCCTAAACCCTAAACCCTAAACCCTAAACCCTAAACCCTAAACCCTAAACCCTAAACCCTAAACCCTAAACCCTAAACCCTAAACCCCCCCAAAAAACTCCTCTCTCAACGACTCCCGAGAAGGCGCCTTGTGAGAGTTGGCTTCGGCAGTGCCGCGCACGACTCCTGGGGGGAGCTTGCCCCCCTTCCAGTTGAGAGCACTTATGCCTTTGACAAAAAACCCCCCTCAACTTGACATGTGCTCTCCCATACAAAAGGTGCCACAATGTGATGTATCATTTTTGGTACTTCTCTATCGAGGACCGGTACGAAATGCACCTCCCGAAATGCCAAAGGCACGTCGGCTATGAACGCTTTTCCCGAACGAACCTCCCAGACCTCCCAGACCTCCCAGACCTCCCAGACCTCCCAGACCTCCCAGACCTCCCAGACCTCCCAGACCTCCCAGACCTCCCAGACCTCCCAGACCTCCCAGACCTCCCAGACCTCCCAGACCTCCCAGACCTCCCAGACCTCCCAGACCTCCCAGACCTCCCAGACCTCCCAGACCTCCCAGACCTCCCAGACCTCCCAGTTGAAGGTTGAAAGTTTAGGAACCGCCATGTCGGCAAACGAAAGTCTACTTCTACATCTATTTCAAGAAACAACAGCAGTCCAGCAATTCCAAGCCATCAGAACCAGTTCCCAAGGAAAGTAGCAGCACACCGCACGAAGATGCTGCAGAAGCTTCGACTCTAAGCTTACGGTTTTATCAGGCTCCAGGGGTGCCTCAGGCATCTCCTCGCCATCGAGGGTGAAGCCTTCCGTGGGGACTTAGGGTTTGAGGTTTAGGGTTTGGGGTGTAGGGTTTAGGGTTTAGTAGGGTTTAGTAGGGTTTCGTAGGGTTTAGTAGCGTTTAGTAGGGTTCAGTAGGGTTTAGTAGGGTTTAGTAGGGTTTAGCAGGGTTTAGTAAGGTTTTGTATGGGTTTAGTCGGGTTTGGGAATCATAGGCTTACTTTTGGGGGATTTGGTTCTAAGGTTGAAGGGCTCGTCTGCTACTTGGAGGTTCAGTTAGGCATGTTTTGAGTATGGTAACTGAACTGCTCTTCTCTTATTCCTTTGCCCATAACCTCCAAACACCAAAGCCAAGGCACAGCCACGAGTCCGGACCTGCGATGGCCTCTCAAAATGTGCGGTGCGCCAACAGGCTTCGGGTCTCCGTGAACTGAGACCTATGCATCCTATGGATGAGGGAGACCAAGGCAGAAGCATCCGAAGCCAACTCTGCAACTGCCCGCGAGGTGCTTCAGATCTGGCGCTGCCGTGCAAGGGCGCATGCAGTCACCGAAGGGCCCCGCAACCCACACCACCTCAGATGGGGGCTTTAGCGTTGCAGGAAGTCGGAAGGATTCATGCCTCAAACCGCTGAGGGTTGTCTGCCGGGGCGCAAGGGCCTACAGACCCTAAACCCTAGTCGGGCTTCGTCACATTGCAAGTGTTTGCCTCGACCCTAAACCATAACCCTAAACCCGAAACCCCCAAAGTCGTCTAAACCCGAAACCCTAAACCCCAAACCCTAAACCCTAAACCCCAACCCACACAACGTGAGCACCTTGGAGAGCTGGGGGGGTTACAGAGAAGTTTAGGGATTTGGGGCTTTGGGACGGTGTAGGGGGAAACCTGAGCAAACCTGAACTCTACGAAATCCTAGAGTCTTGACGGCTTTTTAGGGTGTAGGGTTTAGAATCTTAGAGGAACAGAGAGGGTTTCGAGGGTGCCAAGTGGTCAGGTCACAGGAGTTGTTGCTTGAAATTTCATTCTTACACGCGTAACTAAAATAAAACATGCGCTAGCTTACTTTTATTTTACTATTAGCGTGTGAATATTATAAGGGAGCTTGGGAATTCTAGAACAGATTGGTGATGTTAACCTCAGATTTAGTATTACAGCCCGGGGGAACGATTCCAAGGGTGTGAACGGTTAGACCAAGATATGAGAGATGGAACGGCTGACATGTGAACTAGACTGGCGAACTAGATTCCAGGGTCTTTGAGGCAGTAACAAGACGGTGAGACAGGAGTGAAGAGAACGTAACCTGGAAATGAGCCCGTGAGCCGTGGATTGACTGTTCACCCGGAGTAATACTATAATCCTAAGGTTAATCGTGTACCCGTGTACTAGATCTACAGGAAAGGGAGCAAAAACCCCTGGAAAGTACTGGATGAGTGAGCTGTCAACAAGTCTAGTTCCTTGACCATAAGCCTATAGCATTAGTGCTGTGGTGAAGTGAGCTAGCGAACAAGAGGAAGGCCACTCACCGCGTACAAAACTCCGAAGCCCCTAAACCCTAAGCCCTACTGTCTTGGAGGTGTATGGGTATTTGTAAGTAGGGCTTCTAAGTATGGTAAAACTTTTAGGATTCTTATAACCCTACTTTTACGAACCTCTAAAACCCTCCATTCCAGTCCGTAAAAATCGCGGAGTCGCTGGCTTTTCCGGCTCCCACACTTTGGCAGTGCCTTGCCGGAACCTCGGCATGCACCGGGAGAGGGTTTTAGCGTTCAGGGTTCAGGGTTTAGGGTTCAGGGTTTTAGGGCTTCGGATTGCCCAGGACTCCCCTACACCAAGGCACCCACAAACCCTGCAGGGTTTAGGAGAGGCTTTGGGGGGGGGGGGGGGCCGGGGGGTTGGGTGCCCCTGTGGAGGCTCTTTGAAGCGCAGAGGATCTAGAGGGCTCCAGGCTAATGACTCATGTTTAACCTTCAGGCTTGTCTTGAACCACCTGAAAAACCTCAAGGTCGCCTTGAATCTCCAGCCCACACTCCGGAACGGCCCTATCAACGCCTCCCACCCCCCCGCGAAACGCCCAGCACCGCCGCAATCCCCAAACCCTTTTAAGAATAAAACTCGAGTTATCACCTGTACACCCTCCACTGCGACCCATAAATGTCAAACCACGATCCAACTCTAAACAGCAAACAAGCCGGGGCCTCAGTTCCTGCGCTAGCCGACACCTCCCGCGGCACCCAGGGATCCGCGCTGGATAAACGAATTCCCGCCGTTCGTGGTTCCTGCGACCCGGCACTTCCATGCACGCAGAGGGTTGAGGGTTGAGGGTTTAGGGTTTAGGATTCAGCGAAGAAGGGCTTTAGGGGCAGCTTGGGATTGTTTCGGGTTTAGGGCCTATAGGATTTACGGAGTGTGGACCGGGTCCTATTGCCAACAGGCCCTGTGGAGTGCAGGGTAGGTCTGGTAGCCCTTAATGAAGGCTCTGGTTGCCGACACAGACTGGGCCTCGCCTCAGGGAGAGTTCACAAGGAGATAGGAGGTTAGGGGCTTAGGCCTGAGGGTGTTAAGACTATACAATATAGGAGGAATCAGAAGAGCACAGTAGTAGTAACTTTTTAGGCTCCTGAACTGGGGAACGGGTCCTGCCAGGAGCTCTGCTAGAAAAATACATATACATACACATATGCATGCGCGCATTATATGTATATATATATATATATATATATATATGCTCACCCGGGTGGGAAGGGGTGGTCAGTTGTACAAGTCCCAAGAAAAGAGCACGCGACGCTGAGCAAGGCCGAAACACACGGGAAAAAAAGAAAAAAAACACGAAACAAAAGGGAAACACGCACAAAAAGGCACTCTAGCGTGCGGAAATGGCCCAATTGACCGCCAGCTCTTGTCAAGCCAGGGAGTGGCCGAAAGGGCACAGGTACAACCCAAAATATGTCCCAGCAACGAGGAAAAAACAACAAGAAAAAAGGAACCGCGGACAGGCACCACAGCAGGAGGCCCTTATTATTGAGGCTCCGGGCGACCGGGGTACAGCAACGTCTAGGTGAGAGGCCACCAGAAACCTGGCAGAGATACTCACAGCCTTCCCGGGCGCCTAGCTGCACCCCCTGGCCACCGGGGATGTGGCAGGTGACCCCAAGGAAGGCACCGGAAGTCAAGGGTTGCTAGCCTAAAAGGCAGGCTCAAGCGCCGGACCAAATGCCAAGTGACTGGGGAAATGCATACACCAAGTAACCGTCTTCACTGCGCAAATCGCTGCACCGCAAGCAAGGCAGAGAGCACGCTCCCAGACCGACCCCACGAAACCAGACAGCGCCCAGGGTGGCCACTACAAGGCGTGGCAGGCGCCACGCAGGGCAACCAGAAAGAAAGTCCAAAGAGGTAGGCCACAGAGACCAAGGTACGGTGAGCAGCAAGGCAACGAAGACGCTTGCCAAGGCTGCAACCAAGGAGGACCAATGGAAGCAGGGCACGCAGGGTACGGAGGTGGGGCAACACAGGTCCAAAGAGGCCGAGAAAGGGACTTGTGAGGGAATAGCCTCTTCGGGGAAAAAACAGGAATCAGCAGGGAAGCCACCAGGCGCTGACCCCAGAAAGGCAGGAGAGGGAGAGGGAGGAGGAGAGGGAGGGGGAGGAGGAGAGGGAGGGGAGGGGAGGGGAGGGGAGGGGAGGGGAGGGGAGGGGAGGCTTGGGCCCTGGGGGAGATGCCAGAACTTCCGAACCCCGTAAACTTCTTCCGAACATCATCGTAGGAACCTTACTGCATAATACCATTGAAGGAATGCTCCTTAACTTACTCGGTTTGGGGAGTTCTAGGACGCTGCGCCTTCTCGCAGGAGTCTGAAGATCGATGACTGCCGTACGGGGGAGAAGCCAAGGCAAACAACAACCCTGAATTACTCTCTCACAAGCTGGTGAATTTGCTGCCAAGTTACTTTTAGTCCCACAAGCCGGCGAGTTCGGTGCGTTGCAAACGTCACCTGCCAGGGTCCCCGTTCCATGCACCCCCTAGAAACCTGGGTTTAGGGTTGAGGGGTTTAGGGCTTCGGGCATCCGGAAGTTTTTTCGGTAAACTGTGTTGAGGATCCTCCCATAATTTGCGGAGGGGGGGGGGGTTTCCTCCAAAGAAACAAGAAGTTTTGGGTTTAGGTTTAGGGACCTCGGGTATGGAAACAGGCTGAGGGTAGCTCGCAACTCCTAAGCCCTAAGCCCTAAGCCACAAACACAACGAGATTTATCAATATCAAGATCATCAACTGCAGCTCTTCAGCAAGAAACCAAAACGATCAGCAACCTGCCTGCCCGAGTGACAAGAACCTGGGCAAAGACGCACAGCTTCACCTGGGTAGAGATGGCACAACTGAGCCCTTTTTGGTTGAAAGGAGCAAAGAACACGGAAACCCTAATGACCCCAAACAGGCTGGACATTGGCTGAGTTGCAAATGATGGCGTCATGCCCGAGGTGCCCATGTCGCGGCAATCAAAGAGGTGCCACACTCGGGACTTGACCGCAAGGGGACTTGTAGATCGTGCTAGGCAAAGGCTGAGAGAAAACGGCACCAGGGGCGCATATCGCAAGACACCAAGAGCCCATGAAGCGCTCTTCTTGAAACCCACATGATCGGGACCTTTGGGCCTGTGGGGGGGAGGGAGCGAAAGGGTCGATGACGACCCTCGAACCGCGTGGGGCTTGCCCATATCATCCCACCCGCAGAATCTGTCAACCGGATCCCAGCCGGCTCGGTAAAGCGCAGATTGGCCGACCCTATGGGCTACAACTTTGGGCCCCTCCAAATTCTTGAGTGTTCTGTAGGAGCAGTGTGCAGATGAGTGCTGCAGACTCAAGAGCACTATTTTGCCACGTTGCATCATTCGTACTCGCCCCTTTCTTCTAGGCGCCGCATGTGGAGGCCTTCAAGGAATTTGTGCATCAACACCACCGAACTGAAAGGCCTCAAGAGTCTCCCGAAGAAGAATCTTGAGGTGCTCTCAAAGTTGGGGGCTCTTCTGAGGTTTCTCTGCTGCTTTGTGTATTGTTGCATGCCGCTTTGAAGTTGCGGAAGCAGAGAGGGAAGGCTTTTTTTCTCGAAATGTTTGGCATGGCAAAAGCAACAGGTCTTTCCTAAGGCCTAAGCCCAAAGCCCAAAGCCCCAAGCCCCAAGCAACAAGCCCCAAGCCCCAAGGCCCTAGGCCCTAGGCCCTAAGCCATAAGCCCAGTTGGCTTTTCAGCGCTGCACCCAAATCCCCTGAAGCTCCTGAAGCTTCAAAGCAAACCTCAGTGAAGCTGCAAACTTCTCTTCTTTACCCCCTTAGAACCAGAATAAGAAAGAACAACTTTATGCATCTCGCCCATGGGCTTATCTATAGACACTCACTTCAATAGAGCCAATCCTCAGAGGAGGCAGTTGTCTTAACCCTTTCCATGCAAAGCAGAGCCAGTGAGCCAGTTGTAGCCGGCCAGTTGTAACCTGGCCCTTTTTTCGGGGCGCTTCCCTGCGGACCAGCCGGTTTCCGTGTCGAAATCCAGGGTTGTGAGCTCCTCAGAGCATTCCTTCTGTTCCATCGGATCAGCTGCAAAATGAAAAAGAAGAAACATACAAGCAGTCAGATAAGAATAGTGGTGATGATGACGACTATACCGACGGCCGGAGCTCTTATTATGGTACTGATGGTGATTCGAACTAGTCTTGGCATGGTGTTCCAGGATACCCACCAAGACACTGAGAGGAACAGTCGAACAAAGCAGCTTCTGTGAGATATGGTTCTGCTTTTGTTGAATTGCAAAACATCTACCAATTGCATCCGTTGAAGGTAGCTTTAATCTTCACATGGGCTGGTTGATTTTGGGCATAGGGCTGCCCAGCTCCAGGCCAGAAGAAACCGGCGACACGCGGAAGAGAATCGGACAGGCTATTCAGAACGGAAAGGCTTGCTTTGCGCGCAGCTTGGCAGATCTATGCAGTGCAATGCAGACCTGCTTTCTTTCCGCAGATCCACATGCTGCGCGTTCAAAATTGAAATCACAAAAGGTCACGTTGAAATCACAAAGGGTCACGTTGAAATCACAGACCAGGTCACGACGGTCACGACCTCTGTTCCCATTGAACCTTCTTGGGCATCCTAAACCCTGAACCCTGAACCCTGAACCCTAAACCCTAAACCCTAAACCTTAAACCCTAAACCTGTAGCCTCTGAAGTGCCGTGAGCTGCCGTTCAGCCGGGCTACAGCGTGCACGCAGCAGAGAATGCAGCTACGCCAGCTCTTTCAGATGGGTGGCTCGTCTCTGAATCGCAGGCTTGATCTTCCTGCACCTTGAGCTCGGCAAAGCCGACTCCGATGCCTTGCCGCAACCCCAGGGAGGCTCGATAATTCTTAGTCAACATATCCGTATATCAAGATACCAATGTATTCATATATTCAGATATGAATATATCAGTTAAATATATCACGATATTACAAAATTAACTTCTTGATGTCTTAATATACTGATATATTTACCAATTGATATTTGAATACACTGATATATTTGCATATCAGTATATGAGCGCTCAGGCTGAGGTTTCCTGGGTTTGAGGCAGGGTAACTTAGTCAACCTTTACTGGCATGTGCGTGCGTGCCTTGCAAGCACTGAAAAAGATAACAGGCGTCGCGGCGCACCGCACTCGACACATGTATAACCTTGTAATGAGTTTAAGAAATATGTATGTATATACGTATATATATATATATATATATTTCTACTACGAATATAGAGTAATGCCTGACAATATCTACCTTACATATACCAAGATGTTCAATATTTACGTTTATATTGTAATATGCGTTCAAAAAGGAATAGGAACCAATATACTATAATATGTACTGCAAAGATACTATGAAAGTACTACTCAATTTTCCTATAAAGGTGCTTTAACATATATATATATATATACTATACAATATATATATATATATATGTAAATAAATAAATAAATATATATATATACTATTAGAAAATCTTGACCACTTCAGATAATGTTGAAACCTCAAAGAACTTAAACACGAGGCTACAAATCAACTCCTCAGTCAACTCCTCAGTAATCTTCCCTTACACACAAGCCCATCTCCAAAACCCTAAACTCCCCAACGCTCCCCAATCTCAAGTCCAGCCCAATGGGTTTTAGGTTGTAGTTCTGGGATTCGGGATGTGAGGGTTGTTCGTTCAGGGCCTGACTGCAGATCAGTCGCTTGTGCTAGCTAGGACCAGAACCCTTAAGCTAGAACTGTTGCGACTTTACCAGAAATGCCTCGGATGGGATCAATGGATGAGGGTGCTTGCTCTGAAGCCCCCAAGATCACAAGAAGCAGCAGCTTCCCAAAAACCTGTGGCGACAGCCACACGCCGACACAGGCAAAACAAACACAGCGGGCCAAGCCCGCTCAAAACCGCCCAAAACTCCCCCAAAACCCCCCCAAAACCCCCCCAAAACCTCCCCCAAATCGCTGCGGGCCAGTCTCTTTTTATTTTGACCCAGCCGCCGTCCGCGCCCCACCTGCCAAGGGTTTGGGATTCCGCCAAGTGCTGCGCGGCCCCTTTTGTTGTCCTAGTATCCCTAAACCCTACTCAAACCCTACTAAAGCCCTAACCTCCCTTTTACTGGGTGAGTAGAAGGTGAACGTGGAATCGGGGCTGAGGGTTTGGAGTGCGGTGCCAAGCCCACCCCGGCATCGATGTTACGCCTAGGACTATGATGATGAGGATGATTATGAAAGTATGACTGCCCGCCGCGATTCTTAGCATTCTTACGACTGATGATGATGATGATGATGATGATGATAAATGGTAGGTTTTACTGTTAAGCCTCACTTGCGCAGAAAGCAGCGTGCACCTCGACAACCGGGGCAAGGTTTCCAGCCTTAAACCCTAAACCCTAAACCCTAAACCCTAAACCCTAAACCCTAAACCCTAAACCCTAGACGCTACATGAGGCTTACATGCAGCGGGACTTCGAAGACCCCCGTGCAACGCCAAAATCTTGCAGAGTTCCCACTGCCCCCGCGGCGCGAACACATCATGATGGCCTCGCGACGACATGTCTACTATGCCCTATACGGTACCTATAGGTTTCCATACATTGTCGACCATGCTTGCTCTCTAGACGCATCAGCTCGTGCGTCTGCGCGAGGTCGCGCGCGCGGAGCGCAGGCGGAGCCCTCTACGTAGCGTGCTCCTGGTGAAAGCTGTTGCCTGGTCGTCTGGCTCGCAACAACCAATGGGGTTGCACCTGAATGTTGACGCGGCGAAGGTGAGAGGAGAACCCCCCTTTTGAGTGAGCAAGAAGCCATGTCATGGATGGCCAAAAGACTCAAACTTTGATACAGGAGATCTGTTGCCGCTGGGCGTCCGAAGGTCATCCCGAACTTGTGCTTGTAGTTTTTGTGGCTGATCTTCTTACCCTCGGCAGGAGTGGGCGAGGGTTTCCAGACTCGACAGGGGTTCGGGGCGAGGCGTGGTGTTGGGGGAGGTTATTTTGGGGAGTTTGCACATGAAGCCCCAAAGCCTTAGCCCTTTCAGGTTCAGTGCTGACGGCACTGGCTTTAATTGCTACAAGACAACTTCCGGGACACAACCGGGGGATCAAGCAGTGTAGGGAGGTCCTAAAGACAAAAAGATTAGGCGCACGTGTCTTTTTCGCTCCTACCATGAGGACTCTTCATCATCGCATTGTGGGGTGCATACAGGGCCTTAACCTTAAACCCATTGAAGGAAACGCCCGTCTGGGTTCTTTAAACGCCCTTCTAAACCCAAAACCCCTTGGAGGAAGCAAGGGAAGGGCCAAGAACAGCATCCCGAGCAGCCCGTGAGGGCTAAGGGGATCCCAGGGTTTTTGTCGGGGGGGGGGGGGGGGCGCGCTTCCGCTTCTTGCGAGGCTTGCCGGGCTGATTTCAGGGTTTATTTTTTTTTTTTTTTTTGGGGGGGGGGGGGGGGGGGGGGGGGGGGGGTGCGATTTTCGGGTTCAGGGCTAAGGGCGTAATTGCCAGAGCACGGTGATGCTCGCGCTGATGGTGACGGAGGCTCCTGGACAGTTCGGACGAAAAAATCATAAGTATAGTATGGGACCTAAAGACTCCGTAGTTTCATAAGATTGCTTTTCCAACTGGTCAAACCTTTTGTTGAGTAGAAATCATAGTAGGATCCTTGATGAAAATCTTCAGAACATTCCTCAACTAAGGAGATTCTGAGACTGCCTTCGGTTGCAGCCGCACGCTTGGCTTTCGAGTTGGGCCTCAAGATTTGGGGCCAAATGTGTTTGTGCCAACCTGTGGCCCAAAATTCGAACACATCAAGTGCGGAGTCGGAGTATGGCAACCTGGGGCCAGAGAAAGCAAAGAAAGACACCCCCAGGAAGCGTGAGTCCTCGGAACATGCGGCGCCACTCTGGGACAGAGTACACTCAGGGAAGAGGAACGCAAAGCAACCGTAAACGCAGCAAGCAAGGGATCTTCACAAACTCGGGAGCCCGTAATCCCTTTCACCCGGTAAGAAGCACAGACCGTTTAAAACAATCCCGAGAAGGGACCCTACATTGTGCATCAGATTCCGAGAACAGGGGAAAACCTGATGTTAGGGGCAAAACTGGGAAAACAACTTCCCAATTCTGCCAGCCCTTGGTGACACTTGGTGAGCCACAGTGTTTCCGAAAGCTCGGTGGTTTCGGCTGAAACGGCAGAGCGCAACATGGTCTTTCAGGGCACGCCGTGATAAAGCAGGTGACCATGGCCGATATATGCAGCAAACCGCATGAAGTCTTGGGAGGAATTGGTGTTCGCGTGTGTACGTTGCAAGACGCTTGGGGCACCCTTTCTTTTGCGCTCGCCTTGATACCGGTACGCATGGTTCACATCTTCGCAGGTTTCTCCTGCGAGAGGCGCCTGACATGCTCAATGGGCATGTCAAGCGATTCACAAAAAAAAGCCTTTCGAGAACCTGGAGCAAAGAAAGACGTTGCCGGCAGTCTGGTGAGAAGTTGGCTCCATGTTGCGCAGTGCATGGGGATGCCGGTGGATGCCTCCTTCTCGCGAGGCAGCAGAAATGGTTCATGGGCGGTGAGTTGAAGCTAGCGGCTGCACCGCCTGGGCCGCCCGGCTCTTGGAGCCAAAGCAAAGAACAAGCAGCAGTGATGCCAAAAACCTTCGAAATCGAAGGGCTCTCGTGGGCCAACCCCCAGTTGTGAGTTGCAGAGAACGTCATTTTTGTTCAGTGCCAGCTGTGCTTTCAGCATCAGTCAAGGCTGCAGTGATCCCATAGCTTTCTCTCACTCTCATGCATCTTTTCACAGCTTTATTCGCTTGCTTCATGCGCAGCGTGCGCATGCAGAGTCTCCGACTGTGATGAGTTGTTGGTTGTTTGAGGTGCTGTGACGACACAGGATCCTGGTTCCGCTGCTTCCCCGAGTTCTCACAGGAACCTAAGCGGACAAGACAAGACAAGTGTGGGATCTGCTCTGTGTTGGCCTCTCCAATTCCCTTGGGGAACACTATGCTCCGGGCTATGCGTGATAGCTGTGATGACTCTTTGAAACCCTCCGATGCGCCCCAGGACAGTTTACAGGAAGAGGCATTTTGTGGGTGACGAGTGCTTTTGCTGACTAGCGCTGCTCTTGGACGAGGCATGGTGTGCTGCGCGGTCGCCCGGGACACTCCCGCCTCCTCGACCGGGCTCGGTCCCCAGGGGGCCTTGCCACACATGTACAAGCAGCGCGTGACCAGACAGCAACAAAAAACAAGGAGTTACCACACAGGGGCGCACTTTTTTGTTTGCTGTGCGGTCGCGGGTGGGACTTGCTCATTCCCGCCTCCTTGGCCATGCTGGGTTTGAAAACAACCCCAGCGCGCGACCACACAGCGAAAAACCGCGTTCCCTTAAAACCGAACCATCCCCGTTCTGAGTATGTACTGCTGGCCCACCTGCATTCCTAATTAATGTGGCGACTTCACTAACATTCTCGAACAAGGTTTAGGCTTTAGGGATTTTTGCCTTCTCCAAAGCTTTGCCAACTCTGCTGCCACATTCGGGAAGCCTAAACCCTCAAGACAAAATAAATAGAAATTGTATGCGGCTTTCGTCTGAATTTCCCAAGTATTTGTCTAAACAGCTGACAAGCAGAGTTCAAAGTAGATTCATCCAAAGCGCCTGGGAGGCCAAATGCTCAGTTTCCCTGGAGGAAAGGCCCTGAGAGGTTGGTTTGAAGCGTCCCCACAAGGCCGCCCATAGAGTTCCAGGATAAGTTAGGTTCTGGAAAGAAACTTTCGCTCACAACATTCGTTCAAAACGCTTCGTTCAAAACCTTGTTGGGACCCTGACCCAAACACGTCTCCCACCCAGCCATGACATTCAGGTACTTCACGTCTGGCAACGTTTCGTTTCCGACCCAGCCATGATACAACGATTCTGAAAAAAAGTCGAAAAAGAGAAACACTTCGTTGAAAAAAATCGTGGAACAGTTCGGTGAAAACGTTTCGGTCCCCCAGCCAACCCCCCCCCCCCCCCCCAACATCCCCCGCCAGCCCACCTCCCAACCCCCGTCCCCTCTCCAGCGCACCACCACCCCAAAAACTAATAATATGTTCTGAAAGAGAAACGTTTCAGCAAAAACGTTTCAGCAAAAACGTTTCAGTAGGAACGGCTCGTTGAAAAAGTTTCGTCAAAAACGTTTCGTTGAAAACCCAAACCCCACATCAACTTCAAAAAGCCCTAAACCCGAAACCCCATAAAATTTCTGTAACCCCTAAACGGCCCTAAACCCTGTACAATTTCTATAAACCCTCAAAGGCCTGAAAACCCTGAACCTGGGCTCCTGTTGCATCTTGGAAGGAGCCGCTGCCCTGCCGGATCGCCACCCAGCCGATGACCTCGTCGCTTTGGACCTGAAGTGCTAGGACCCTTTCAACCGACTTAAACCCTCTGAAACATCTTTTTTTCCATACGAAATCAGATCCTTCATACTCAGATCACACCTTCATCCCGAAGCCGTAGGGGCGGAAGGGGGCGCTCTTGTCTCGGCATCTCACGAAAACTGTTGCTCGAGCACCTGAACATGTAGGTCGTTTGTAAGTTGTTTCGGGTTTAGGGTTTAGGGTCGTTTAGGGTCGAGGGTTTCGTGCCCGATTGTCAACTCCGAAATTTAGAGGTTAATGCTTGTTTCCCAGTGCTTTTCTAGTGATATTCCATCTGACTCTTGGTTTGCAACGTCATCCTCCTCTGACTCTTTGAAAAACTCGTGAACTCTCTTGGTAGCGTATCGTAGGTCATTATCAAAAGGACTTGAGGAAAACAGTTGCGGTGGGGGGGTCCCGAGGGCTTTGTCCGCAGCCTGGAAGCAAACGTGTTGGGTCTGTGACAGAAGGAGGGAGCGAACAAGGGCGAACACAGGGTTGTGCTTTGTTTCTGTGTTCATAGGTCCGTAACCGATGACACCCCGCTTCAGCATGTGAGTGATTTCCATGTGGTGCGGAATCCAAGACACATGAAGCAAGCATCCAACCTTCGGATCGTATCGCTCCCTCTTGCGGACCGGACTTGAGGGCAGAAACCCATTCTCAAGGTCACATTTTCCTGTCGAAGTGTGAGCGTTGCTTCAGACTGTTGCCTTTTTTCCTGTGAGGCAGGACACATGTTGCATTGGGTGCAAGTTGGGTCAAGTTGAGCACCAAACAAGACATCCCAAACCCCCTTCCACAAACCACCCGCCAGACCCTTAACCCAAACCCTGAATCCTTGGACCCTGAATCCTTCGGCCCCTTCGACCCTTAGACCCTAAACCCTAAACCCTAAACCCCGAACCCTTAGACCCCTCAACCCTCAAACCCTGAACCCTTAGACCCCTGAACCCTCAAACCTTTGCTCTGTGGCCCCGGGCATGCGAAGCGGAGTGTGACCCTGTCTCAGAAAGCTCCAGAGCAACCTGGAGTCTTCGGGTTGAGGGTTTAGCTTTTAGGGTTAAGGGTTTAGGGTTGAGGGTTAGGGTTTAGGGTTTGCTGTGATAGGGCGTAGATGCTGTGAAGGTGAGGTTTCGGAACAAGCTTGAAAGCTTCGGTGAGGTGCGAAGAGCAGCTTTGGCCCGATTGCGGAGGGCCATCTAACACTTTTAGTTTTTCTAGAAGGGACCAGTACTGGTCCCCACAAAAAACGTGGTCCGGTACCGGGCCCATCGTGGGCGCTACCGACCCCCATGCTGTGGGAGGCGGGCGAGCGACCTGGGTCGGCTTGCGCCATCGAGGTCGAAGGGCTTAAGCACCGCCCCCCAACGTGGGGCGCGGCCACGCCCTGAGTTTAGGGTTTAGGGTTTAGGGTTGAGGGTTGAGGGTTGAGGGTTGAGGGTTGAGGGTTGAGGGTTGAGGGTTGAGAGGGTTGAGAGGGTTGAGGGGGTTGAGGGTTGAGGGTTTAGGGTTTAGGGTGTGTCAGGGGAGGGCGCGCGCTCGGGTGTGAAACACCCCGGGCTGCGCGCTCGCGTTGCCCGTCAACCCACCCGGGCCACCCAAACTATACTCTATTAGGGTTTAGGGTTTATGGAATTTAGGCCCCAAACCCTCGTCCTTAAACCCTCGTCGCTAAACCCTCGTACGAGGATTTAGGCCCTAAACCCTCGTCGCGAAACCCTCGTACGAGGTTTTAGGCCCTAAACCCTCGTCCTAAACCCTCGTCCTAAACCCTCGTACGAGGATTTTGGCCCTAAATCCTCGTCCTAAACCCTCGTCAGTGCCTACAAATTGGTCGTTGATAGGAGGTTTTAGGGTTTATATATATATATATACATATATATATGTATATATATATATATAGGCCTAGTACTGGCGAGTGTCCCAATGCTTAGCGGTGGCACGGCTGAAACTCTGATGAGACAGTAGAGGCTGCTGTGGCAGGCGCATTGTATGTGCGAATGCCCTATGAAGCCGCTTGGCCGAGGGGGTCGCTGCGGTCGGCCACGTGGCCGACCGGCAAGCGCCCTGAGTTTAGGGTTTAGGGTTTAGGGTTTAGGGTTTAGGGTTTAGGGTTTAGGGTTTAGGGTTTAGGGTTTAGGGTTTAGGGTTTAGGGTTTAGGGTTTAGGGTTTAGGGTTTGGGGTAGGGTTTAGGGTTTAGGGTTAGGGTTTAGGGTTTAGGGTTTAGGGTTTAGGGTTTAGGGTTTAGGGTTTAGGGTTTAGGGTTTAGGGTTTAGGGTTTAGGGTTTAGGGTTTAGGGTTTAGGGTTTAGGGTTTAGGGTTTAGGGTTTAGGGTAATTGCATCGTTCCCGTGCTGGGTTTAGGGTTTGGGGGTTTGGGTCTTTGTTTCGACCGGACAGCAAGGCTCCTATTGTTTGTTGCGGAAACGGCCTTTCTCCGGAAGCAGAGGCTGCTGCCCAGGCTGCTTGCTCAAAAAAGCGTCCGCAAAACCCCCCTCAACCCAGCCAAAGCCCCCGAATCTCTACCCAAGCCCTAAACTTTTCTTAAACACACTCCCCTGCGCACTGGTGAAGACATACCAAAGACTCTACTCCGCAAACGTCCCCAAATCCCCTAGCCCTAGACCTTGTGAACTCAACTCTACTCAGGGACTGATTCTCTTAAGGAAGCCTAAGGCATAAAACAACAATCAGCTAGGCGGCAGTAGGTGATCGAAGAATATCTTTCCCTAATAACCCTAAACCCTAAACCCTAAACCCCAAACCCTAAACCCTAAACCCTAAATCCCACACTAGGGAAGGCCCGGCACCCAGGCATCGGTTGCGTGGACGGCGTTGACCCCGACCTCGGGGGAGGAATCCGGGCTCCCTCAACTAGGCTGGCCCTTAAAGCCCTCTGCCAAATATTCCTGAATATCTTAACTGTCTAGTACCTAGGGGTTTTAAAGGTTAACCTTTGGGACTATAAGGTGAATGTATTGACCCAAAAAGGTTAAAGGTTACCTACTCTACTACTAAGATATGATCCTCTTGAACCCACTAAGGGAAAATTATAAAATGTTTGAAGGGCCTTCCGGGAAATCCAGCGGACCTGGAAACAAAATTGGCAAAGGAGAAAATCCGGAAGTACCTGGTGATAGGAACCCTAGCAAAATTGGAATTCTCGCTGCTTCTTAGGAAATAAAGTGCCCAATAAATAAACATTGTTTCCCAAATGCCCCTAAGTCATTCCCGACCAAGAGCCGTAAGTTCAGGGGTCTGGGTAGACAGGAGAGTTTGGGGTGGGCGGGGGGTTGGGTTGGGTTGTCTTGAAGTTTGGGGTTTAGGGGTTTGGGTGCTTAGGAGTGGTTTAAGTGTTGAGGGTTTCAGTTGCTTGGAGTTTCGTGGTTTAGAGGTAGTTGGGGCTTCGGTTTCCTAAGAGCCATAACGAGGGAGTCGTAAAAATGGAATCGCATCACTTGTTGCGAGGGCTCCTGATTGGTCCGGGACGCGTGGGTCTGGGACAGTTTTGTGGGTTCTCTATGATAGAGGCTCTAAACTGAGGAAATAGAGGCAAACCAAAGCTTCCAGTATGCAGGGCACCCCAAAGGGCTCCCAAAATCCTACTTTCCAGTGCCAAATGCACCCTCAGTATCGGCTCGGCAGTGCTGAGCGGCCGTCATCCATGGTTGCGAATTCCCTGTTGGCAGGCCAAACTCATTGTTGGTCGTCTGAATGGCCGTCAAGAAAGCTGGCGCTTCCTTAGCGAGTTTGAACAAATGAGGCAGGGTTTCAGCGCTCTGAGACTGTGATGGGAAGATGCACAGTACCCAGGGCCATCGACGCAAAACCCCAGCGCAGAATCCATGTGGGAACGCAAGAGCATTCCAAGGGTCCTCCAAACACACCAACAGCACTCCGCTCCAGACAACGGAAGAACATCCTTCAAGAGAACTTCAAGTCTTCAAGAGCATCCCAAGAGCCCCCCAAGAACACTTGAACACTTCGAGGACTACGCTTTTGGGGAGATGAAAGAGCGACTTGGCGCCACTCAAGCTCAGTCCTCGGCGTTTGCGCTACAAAAGTCGACTTTCGAGATCTTTCGAGCCACCTCCGGACGTCCTCTCGGCACACTACGTATAACTATCGACTTTCGGCACTGTCCTGCAAAAACACCACAAGCGAGCGACAGTTTCGCATTTCGCGAACTCGCCCAAAAGCGACGACAGCTTCGAATTTACAGCGCCACGTATGGCATGCGCTTCGCGGGCGCTTCGCGGGCGCTTCGCGCATGTTTCACAGGCGCTTCGCGGGCGCTTCGCGAGCAACTCAAGCTAACCACCCAATCTACGAGTCGTGCGATGGTCCAAGACACCATGACTTCTCCGGAGTAGTCTCCAAGTTCAGTATGCGAACCTTCTCCGAACAATTCCCCGAACCTTCTCCGAACTTTCTCCGAACAATTCCCCGAACCTCCGAGACAAGTTTCAGGAAAAGCTTGCGCGAAGCTCACCTGGGTCCAGCCCGACTCGCTGCCTCGGTGTCGAGGTCGAGTCAAGGCCATGGCGCAGCTGAAAAAAACTCCCTCAAGCCCCTACCGCAGTCCTCTGCCATCCCAAAAAAAGCTCGCCCCCCCCCAAAAAAAGCTCGCGCCCTCACAATTCCCTGCACTTCCCTGTGTCATCCATGCGGCTGGAGCCCTTGCAACTGTCGCCCTGCCTCGGCTTTCCCGCTTTGCACGGCTTGGCACCAGATTTTGGCAGGCTTCAGGGTTTGAGAGCAGCTCTACCCGAAAAAAAAACTTACAGCCCTTCGGGCCCCAAACCCACCATTGCTTCAGATTCAAGCCCCTGAGATCTCAACTTCCCCCGGACAGTCTGGACTTGAGGGTGGTCGCCGTGTTGGGGTCTGCGGCTTTGGGACGATTCAGAGTGTAGACTTCGCCCCAACCCCCCCTTCCGACCTGATTTGGCCCCCCAAGTCTGGGGCAGCATCCCCCAAAGAAGATTCCCACGCGCCCTTCTAGGGATGCTCTCCGCCTCAATGCGTAAAAAACAATGGGTTTCTACGGAATATGATACATGTATGCCATTGAGACGTTCATTCATACTGCATTTTAATGTAAAACTGGTCTCTTCTGTGCCGCCCCGGCGGCATGATCTTGTGAAGGGAGGTCGTCCCTGCATCAATCCAGAGCGAGTCGGCACCTGGCTTCGGAGGGCTCAGGTGGGTCGAGGGGTCAAAGGGGAAAGGGGTTTAGGGGTTTAGGGTTTAGGGTTTAGGGTTTAGGGATTAGGGTTTAGGGTTTAGGGTTTAGGGTTTAGGGTTTAGGGTTTAGGGTTTAGGGTTTAGGGTGTGTAGGTCGTATTCGCTCGCTCAAGTGTAAAACGCCCCGAGCCGCTCACTCTCGCTTAGCTCAGTGACACCCACCCTAGACCCACCCAGACTCAACTCTTTTAGGGTTTAGGGTTTCTACCCCCAACCCCCTATCCCCTATCAAGGGGGCTTAGTTTTTTGTTTCTTCTTAGTGGGGTTTTCAGGAAACAAAACACCAACCAGCCATTTCGCGTTTGGGGTCGGCCCCTGACGGGGAAACTCCCTCTCGGGGAAGCGTCTTACAAGGAAGGCCCCTTACTGGCGGGGGATGCCCTGGTGAGGATGCCCTGGATGCCCTGGTGGGGACGCCCTGGTAGGGCCCAAATGGGGGGTAGGGGTACCCCAGGATATCGTCCCCAAATTGCTCGATTTCCAATGAATTTATTAAAGAATTTGTATAGAAGAAATGACCCCTGGATTTTTCAGATTCCGGGGATGCCCTGGTGAAGATGCCCTTGGGGCTGCTGGTTGGTGCCCCAGGATTGGCCCGAAATTGCTCGACTTCCAGTCAATTTAATCAAGAGTTCGTTTTGAAGAAATGACCCTGCAGTTTTTAAATTTCGGGGATGGTAGGGATGCCCTGGCGGGGATGCCTTGGTAGGGATGCCCTGGCGGGGATGCCCTGGCAGGAAGGCCCGAAATTGTTCGATTCCAGTAAATTTAATAAAAAAAGAAATGACCCCGCAGTTTTCAAATTTCGGGGATGCCCTGCTAGGGACGCCCTGGCGGGGATGCCCTGGTAGGGATGCCCTGGTGGGCACGCCCTGGTAGGGCCCAAATGGGGGGGTGCCCCAGGATTGGCCCGAAATTGCTCGATTTCCAGTAAATTTGGTAAAGAATTCTTTCCCTGCAGTTTTTAAATTTCGGGGATGTACTGGTAGGGATGCCCTGGTCGGGTTTGCGCGCTGAGCGCTGCAAGCACGAGGGGCCCGGACCCCCCAATTGAAAAGGTTTCGGGTCTAGGGCTTTGGATTTTCAAGGCCCTCTTCCAAGCAAGTTCACGAAGCCCTTGGGATATTTCAGATCTCTCCTTATCTGCTTTATCGCATCGGAGGGTTGTCGAAGGCCCAACACGTGGAATAATGATGGGAGCTCTTATGGGGTTTCGGGTTTTGGGTCAGGGCTTGAAGGCTTGGAGAGGGGGGGTGGGAGGGGGGGGGGGTGGCGAGAGGGAGGGTGGGCCTAAGGTTCAGAGAATCGTCGTAGAGTAGAGCTTTGGAGAATCGCAGAAGCACTGCAATTGAGCGGGCGGGTTAAAGGATTTTGGGGGTCCCTTCCGACACCTGAAACCCCCAAACCCGAAACCAAACCCCCAAACCCGCAGCCCCGAAACCCCGAAACCCCAACACCCCAAGACCCCAAACCCCGAACCCCGAAACACCCGAAGGCCTGGTAGCTGGTGGACGCCAGGGGCCACGGCCAAGAAAGAAACCTTTTGAAGTCGAGGAACCCTAAACCCCAAACCCTAAACCTGGAAGCCTGAACCCTAAACCCACAGGTTTTAAGGGCTTCTAGGCGGGTGTCGAGGGCTTAAGAAATGTTACGGCTCAAGTGGTTTGAGGGTTTTTTTGGGCTGGCGTTGGAAAAGCGTTCAAACGACTAATACTTCTTGAACATACACAGCGAGAGAGCGAGAGTGAGAGCGAGAGACGGGGAGAGCGGAGGACGGGGAGAGAGGGAGAGAGGGGGGAGAGGGGGAGAGGGAGAGAGGGGGAGAGACGGGGGAGAGCGAGGGGGAGGAGGGGGCGAGAGGAGAGGGGGGGAGAGGGGGAGAGTGGGGGAGAGAGGGGAGAGGGGAGAGAGGGGGAGAGAGAGGGGGGGGAGAGAGGGGGAGGGGGGAAGAGAGGGGGAGAGGAGAAGAGAGGGGTGAAGAGGGGGGAGAGAGGGGGAGAGAGGGGGAGAGAGGGGGCGGATGAGAGGGGGAGAGAGGGGGGGCGGGGGATGAGAGGGGGAGAGAGGGGGAGAGGGGAGGGGGAGAGGGGAGATATGAGAGAGGGGGGGAGGGGGAGAGGGGGGAGATGAGAGGGAGAGGACGGGGGAGGAGAAGGGGGGAAGGAGAGGGGGAGAGAGGGGGGGAGGGAGGGGGAGAGAGGGGGGGAGGAGGGGAGAGAGGGGAGAGAGAGGGGGGGAGAGAGAGGGGAGAGAGGGGGGGAGAGAGAGGGGGAGAGAGAGAGGGGGAGAGAGGGGGAATGAGAGGGGGAGAGAGGGGGGAGGGAGGGGGAGAGAGGGGGGAGAGAGGGGGGGACGAGGGGGGGAGAGAGGGGGGGGAGGAGAGGGGGAGAGTGCGGCAGAGGGAGAGGGGGAGAGGGGGGGAGAGAGGGGAGGGGGGGAGGGGGGGAGGAGAGGGGGGAGAGAGGGGGAGAGAGGGGGAGAGGGGGGGGAGGGGGAGAGGGAGAGAGGGGGGGGAGGAGGTGAGAGAGGGGGGGAAGAGAGAGGGGGGAAGATGGGGAGGGGAGAGGGGGAGGAGAGGGGGAGAGAGGGGGAGAGGGGGGGAGAAGAGGGGGAGGGGGAGGGAGAGAGGGGGAGAGGGGGAGGAGAGGGGGAGAGGGGGACGAGGGGCGGAGAGGGGGGAGAGGGGGAGAGGGTGGAGAGGGGGGGAGGGGGAAGAGGGGGACGAGGGGGAGAGGGGGAGAGAGGGGGAGAGAGGGGGAGGAGGGGGAGAGAGGGGGGAGAGGGGGAGAGGGATGAGAGAGGCGGGGGAGGGGAGGGGGAGAGGGGAGAGGGGGAGAGGGGGAGAGGGGGGAGGGGGGGGGGGGGAGGGGGGGAGGGGGGGGAGAGAGGGGGAGAAGGGGGGGGAGAGGGGGGAAGAGAGAGGGGGAGAGGGGGGGGGGGAGAGGGGGAGAGGGGGAGGGGGGGGGAGAGGGGGGGGAGAGGGGGAGGGAGAGGAGGGGAGGAGAGGGGAGGGGGGGAGAGGGGGGGGGGGGGAGGGGGGGATCTAAGGGGGGGAAGGGGGGGGGAAGGGCGGGGGGAGGGGGAGAGGTGAGGGGGAGAGGGGGAGGAGGGGGAGGAGGGGGGAGGGGGGGAGGGGGGGGAGGGAGAGGGGGGGGGGAGAGGGGGAGAGGGGGGGAGAGAGGGGGAGGAGAGGGGAGGGGAAAGAGGGGGAGAGGGGGGAGAGGGGGGGAGGAGGGGGAGAGGGGGAGGGGAGGGGAGAGGGGGAGAGGGGGAGGGGCAGAGCCATCAGAGGGGGGAGGGGGAGAGGGGGGAGAGGGGGAGAGGGGGGAGAGGGGGAGAGGGGGAGAGGGGAGAGGGGGAGGGGGGGGAGGGGGGGAGGAGGGGGGAGAGGGGAGAGAGGGGGAGAGGGGGGGGAGGGGGGGAGAGGGGGAGCAGGGGGAGGGAGAGGGGGGGGAGAGGGGGGGGGAGGGAGAGGAGGAGGGAGGGGGGAGAGGGGGGGGGAGAAGAAGGGGGAGAAGGGGGGGAGGGGGGAGACGGGGGGGGGAAGGGGGGGAGAAGGGGGGGAGAAAGGGGGAGAAGAGGGGAGAAGGGGGGAGAAGAGGGGGAGAAGAAAGGGGGAGAGAGGAGGGGGAGAAGGGGGAGAAGAGGGGGGAGAGAGCGGGGGCGGGGGAGAGGGGGAAGAGGGGGAGAGGGGGAGAGGGGGGAGAGGGGCAGAGGGTGAGGGCGAGGGGGAGAGGGGGGGGAGAGGGGGAGAGGGGGAGAGGGGAGGGGCGGGAACCCGAAACCACAAACTCTCCCAATTTTCAAATCCCGAAACCCCCAAAACTACCCTGAAGCCAACCCCCCAACCCCCCAAACCCCCCAACCCCCCAAACTCACTTTGAGTCTTGCCAGGAGGCCGGCATCGAGCCTGTGGCGTACTTGCCGACCTTATGACTTGACCTACTGCAGCCTCAAAGAGAAAAAGAGGGCCTTTTCTGAAGTGCTTGTAAGGGGATCCTACTATTTGGGGGTGTTTGGGGTCCCTTATTATCGTAAACCCCCATATCTGCTGTTATATACGCTTTCAGGGAGAGAGAATGAGGGGAGCGAGGATACCATAGGGGCCATAAAGATTTCAACAGGGTTTTGGACAATGCCCTCACTCCCTACGAGCCAGCAAGCAATGCCAACGCATGTGGCCAGATGCTGCTCTTGCGCAGTAGCACCAAGACTTATCACAGAGCAGTTTTCGTTACACCAATGCAAACGTGCGGGGAAAGGAGTTTGAGCCGCTTTCAGGTCTTAATGGGGCTTTGGGGTGTTTAGGGTTGAGAGATCGGGGGTCTGGGGATTTATGGTATGCCTACACCCTAAACCCCAAACCCCGAACCCTGAATCCTCGAGGTGTGGTGCAAGGGGTGCAAGAATGTGGACTTGAAGAGCTTCGTGATTGCCTCGGGGGCCAAGGCCTCCCTTGTGTCTACAAAAGTGTTCACTTGTCACTGTTTCACCTCACTTGTGACGCACCTGCAATTATAACCGGCCTCACTTGCAACTATTTCACCCCTATGCAACTCTCGCTCGAGAAGGGGTTCCGGCTCACCTGCGGCTATCAAAAAAAAAGATTTGCTCACTTGTGAGGCTGGACTCCTGGCTACGGCATCGGAGCATCAAAGCATCCTCTCCGGCAGTGAGCAATAACCACATCACACGCCATCAAAAGCATCCTGGGGAGGAGGGGTGGGGAGGGCAGCTTTTTTTGCATCCGCTCCGGAGATTAACGGAAGCCTGGACGTTGAGCATTCAGCCGCCGTAAGCAGCCTCACAGCCGCGAAGCGCTAGGCTTCCTTGAACAAGAAAGATGCCTGCGACGCCTGAAGAGCTTACGCGTTTCCATTTCCCCAGCAAGACGCCGTCGCGTTCAAAACGCTCCCCAACCAGCCAGAAAGGTACGACGATTTTAGACCCCTATGCAGGGTTTTGGCTGTGAACAGCGACAAAAAAAGGTAGCATAACGATTTTAGAAGCGAGCAGAACGAGTTTAGACCCCTATGCAGGGTTCTGGCTTTGAACAGCGAAGAGCCCTATGCAGGGGTTGGCTGTGAACAGCGACACAAAAAGGCACAAGCGAGCATGACGATTTTAGAGCGGGCTTTGGCTGTGAACAACGAAAAAAGGTACAAACGAGCATCACGAATTTAGAGCCCTATGCAGTGTAACGGGTTTGAAGCCCTATGCTGGGTTTTGGCTGTGAACAACGAAGAAAACGTACAAGCGAGAACCTCCAAAACATAGTCACAAGCAAGGGAGCAAACGAAAAGTCACAAGCGATCCGAAAAAAGGTTACAGCGAGTAAAGATCCATTGCCTCGGGAGCTGCAATGTCTAGGTTTCTGTGTGCATATATATATATATATATATATATCTGCATGTACACATATCTCTTTGTCTACCTATGGTCACCCTCCCCCCCCCCCCGCCCCCCCCGCATGATCTAGGTTTTTCTTTTGCCCTACTAAAACCCTCGTAAATACCGATTAAAAATGGCATGCTGGGTATGTAAGGCGAGGTCCTGTTTCTGCACGTCTAATCGTGTGTGAGAAAACCTGTAAATAATGAAAAACGTGTGTGCTTCGCACTATTTACACGTCATCACCAAAAAAAAAACCGAAAACGCACAAAAATGCAATTTCGTGAACATGTGTGGAGTGCCCAACCCTAGAGTATCTCTACCAAGAGAGGGTGGGGATGTTCGAAGTATAATGATTTGGATAGGACAAGCTTACAAAACAGAGACTCGTATGCAAAAAAACACTTTTTTTTCACAGTTTACCTAAAAATCCAAAAATCCAAAAACTCAAAACCATGAAGCCGGGACACCGCTGTTTTTTGGGTTTTTTGTTTTCTCGAGGTTTTTTTTTGGTTTTTGAAAAAATCAAGAAAAAAAACATGCGTTTTTTGGGATTTAAGGTGTTCCTGGCCTCAAAAACCAAAAACACATGGTTGTTTTTGGGTTTTCACTCAAAATCCAAAAAAACCCTCGTGTTTTGTTGGATTTAAGGTGTTCCTGGCCTCAGAAACCAAAAAAACACATGGATTTTGTGGATTTTCACTCAAAATCCAACAAAACCCTCGTGTTTTTTTTCGGGTTTTCAACCCCGCGGAGAGTAAAATCCAAAAACATGGCATTTTTTGGGTTTTTCAAAAAAAAACACAAAACACCTCGAGAAAACAAAAAATAAAAATAAAATAAAATAAACGCTGTCCCGGCTTCATGGTTTTGATTTTTTTGGATTTTTGGCTATTTTAGGCAAAGAATGCAAGCAAGTATTTTTGTAAGGAATATATTTGTTATCAGTTGTTCTTTCTACGTGACTTCCTTACACACACGCAGAGAAAAACCACACACACACACACACCATTTTGTTTTAGTTTAGATTCAGCCCATTCGGTATGTAGAGTGTGGCGTTAAGATGTAAAGTTCCATCAGATTTAATTACGAATGAGGCTTAGAAAAGGATGTTTTGGGATGTGGCGTCTTAATAAAAACAAACAATATAAAAAGTAATTGAGGTTAAGAGATAACGCGGCCCAGATGCGGGTTTCTTAGGGTGTGTTTCTGAGGGTGTGCACCTGCAATTCCAAAGTCTGATTAGACTTAATTATGAGTCGGGTTTGGAAGAGGATGTCTTGGGGTGTGGCTTCTTCATTTTAAAGTCTATTTAAGTGGAATTACAAACGGAGTCCAGATGAGGATTTCTTAGGGTGTGGTGTTTTAATACAAACCTCAAATTTCATTTCATTACGAAGCGGGACCAGAGGAGAATTTCACAGGGTGTGCTAAGTAATGTAAAATTGGTTCCAAATAGGCAATAACCAATGAGGCTTAGAAGGTGGCGAATTAGATTTACTTACGAATGAGGCTTAGACGAGGATGTCTCGGATGTGGCATCTTAATGTAAAAAGTAATATAAAAAGTAATTGAGTTTAAGAACTAACGCAGTCCAGATGAGGGTTTCTTAAGGTGTTTCTGAGGGCGTGGCCTAGCAAGTCAAAAGTCTAATTAGACTTAATTATGAGCGGGGCTTAGAAGTGGATGTCTTGGGGCGTGGCTTCTTAATGTAAAATTCTATTTATTCTATTTAAGTGGAAATACAAACGGAGTCCAGATGAGGATTTCTTAGGGTGTGGTGTTGTAGTACAAACCTCGAATTTCATGTCATTACCAAGCGGGGCCAGAGGAGGATTTAATAGGGTGTGGTCTGTAATATAAAATTCCAAATAGGCAATAACCAATGAGGTTTAGAAGAGGATGTCTTGGGGCGTGGCCTCTCAATATGTTTGTTTTATTTGTTGTACTTGGGTTTAATTACGAACGAAGCTGTGGCTTTATCATACACAAGTCTAATTAGAAAGCCCCAGAAATAGGGTGTGGCTGTTAAATATAGAACTGTAGGTACATTATAATCCGAATTGGGGCTCAGAAGATGGTGTAAAGTTCTGTCCACAAGTTACATACGAACGAAGCCTAGATGAGAACTTCTTAGGATGGGGGCTTCTTATCTAGAATTATCAACTTGTTATGATTACGAACAGGCCCCTGAATGGCATGGCTTTTGAAATACCAGCATCTAGTCAAATCGAAAATACGTCTAAGTACAAACGAAGCTCTGATGAGGATTTCTTTGGGTGTGGCTTTAGAATATAGACTTCTATGTAAGCTTCATTACGAATAGGGGCCAGAAGGGGATTTCACCAGGTGTGGTGCGCAATCTAATATTCAAACTCGGTCTAATTCCGAGGAGGATGTCTTGGGGCTGGCCTCTCAACATACACTTGCTTTACTTGGGTTTAATTACGAACGAAACCCAGAAGAGGATTTCTTAGAGCGCGGGTTAACAAAACAAAATCTAATTACGTTTCGTTACGAATGGGGCCAGAGGAGGATTTCGTAGGGTGTGGGTGAAAAAAGGTTCCACATAGGTACTAACGAATGAGGCTTAGAAGAGGATGTCTTGGGCGGGGCCTTTTAATATGTTTGTTCAACTTGGGTTAATTGCGAACGAAGCTGTGGCGCTTGAAATTTCATTAAGAGGCCCCAGAAGAGGATTTCATAGGGCATGGCCTTTAAGTATAGAATTCCTTTCGTAGGGTTTGGGCTTCTTATATAGAAGCAGTTCTTCAATAAACTAAGAAGGAAGCCCAGATGAGGATTTCTGAGGCTGCAACCTCTGCATATAAAGTTCTTATGAGATTTTGTTACGGACAGGCAGGCCCCAGAAGAGGATTTCATGGGGCGCGGCTTTTAATAGGCAAATTTAGGTTTCAAAAAAATTGTACTACGAATGAGGCCAGAGGATTTCTCAGAGGGTGCGGCCTTTTATTGTTTTCTCCGAATTAGGTTTAAATATCACTTTGATGTGCCCGGAAGGCCTTCCGACCTAGATCATCGGGGGGGGGGGGGGGGGGGGTTGAGCATATATATATATATATATATTTATTTATTTATATTTATATTTATATTTATATTTATTTATTTATTTATTTGTTTTCAGACTATGTGTCAATATTGTAACTAATGACTTTGTTGCGGTATAAGGTTCCCAAGTTTTGCTCTTGAATGGGGGTTGAGAATTCCTCTTGCGACCGCAGCACAGGCTGAGCAACGATGGCCTTGAATCCTGTCTTGGTGACTTGCGTCAGTCGAACGGATGCCGGCCCCTTTACCTCGGCCAAGGATGGAATACAGAGCTCAGTTGCTGTTGCAGCGATCGTTCTGGAGCGCGATTCGCACTGTTACCTACTAACACGACTGCCGCAACCGAGCGCCATCCTTGAGGCAACTGAACACACTCTTGTTCTTGCCACTGGTGTCCTGGACATGCCAAGCAACTTTCTCTGTCGGGGTTATCACGACAATAGGCACTTCTCCGAACGGCTTCTGGAAGGTGACGGTTGTCCACGCACTGGTCGTTATTGTGATCTGACGGACCTCCAACGAGGCACCTCCTGCGGCGGTGGTGGTGGTCGTTGTGGTGGTCGTGGTCGTGGTCGTGGTGGTGGTGGTGGTGGTGGTCGTGGTGGTGGTGGTCGTGGTGGTCGTGGTGGTGTCGGTCGTGGTCGTGGTCGTGGTGTGTAGTGGTGGTGGTGGTGGTGGTGGGGTGGTGGTGGTGGTGGTGGTGGTGGTGGTGGTGGTGGTGGTGGTCGTGGTGGTGGTGGTGGTAGTGGTGGTAGTGGTCGTGGTGGTCGTGGTGGTCGTGGTGGTCGTTGTAGTGGTGGTCGTGGTGGTGGTGGTGGTCGTCGTGGTTGTAGTTGTAGTCGTTGTCGTTGTAGTCGTCGTGGTGGTCGTGGTGGTGGTAGTGGTGGTGGTGGTCGTGGTGGTGGTGGTGGTGGTGGTGGTGGTGGTGGTGGTGGTCGTCGTTGTCGTGGTGGCGGTTGTGGCGGTGGCACCTTTACGCCTGGCAAGGCGAGAGAGCACCATTGTAGCTGGAAGCAGTCCGAAAAAGCCACAGCTCTTGTAGCAGTATGTGCTTTGAGGCTGAGTACGGAAACCCACGAAAGGAGCTGCTCTGCATGCTTAGACCCGCTCACCTTTCATCTTCTTAACGGGTCGGCCTTGCTTCCCATTTCAAGGCTCGATGACCCTTGCCGTGTTTACCCATGCTCTTGCCTTGGCGGCCCTGGTTAGTGAAGGCTGCAGATCCATGGCTTGGAGTCTAGCAAGGGGCTTTTAAGGCCCTGAGAGGGTTATAAGGGGCTTCATAGCCCTCCTCAGCAAGCAGCCATTCAGGGGCTTCAGAAGTTGGCAACTCCTGCACCTGGAACCTTGCCGGACCCCAAACCGTCAAAAGGCGCGCCGGTGGCGCTTGCAGTTATACATGTCCTGGATCTGCAAGATGTCACCTTCGTGACTTGGCGGAGGCTTCCCTCTTTGTTTCAAGGCTAGAAGGCAGCCCAAAACTCCTCGCCAAGCCTCGAAAGACCTAATACCGGAATGAAAAAGCTGTCCTTGTTTCGGGAATCTGAACCCCCTTCTAATGAATCTCAAAAGCACTGTAAATGCAGGAAGAGGTCGCCGAATTTGGGGGGTTATCCTTACGTGTGTCAGGAGCATCCAAGGTACATACACAAAAACGTCTTCACATGCATCTGGGCATTGCGGGCTCCTACAGCGGTTCTTCCTCGAATCCCTCAAGAAAGGCAAGTTGGGGTTGGCGGCTCCCCAAAGCATTAGACAAGAGGGAAACCCCCTGAGTTCACTAAAAAAAATGGGGCGTGAACAAGGTTCAGAGAAAAAGAAGAAAAAAAACAGCTACGGTAAGGACTGTTGTGATGTGGAGCTTTCGACGTATCTTTCAGGTTTTGAGGTTGGGTTTCTGCATATATCCGCATGTTGGATTGCAGTCCTATACCATGATAGAATCCATGAACAGGTTGACGTTTTGCTGTTGGGGAGAGACGCAAGAAGATCTTCATGGGTTGAAATTTCTTGTTTTGCAGTCTGGGTAGTCTCTTAAGGTGGGAGGGCGGGGAGGCGTGTCTTTGAAACTTGCCCTACTTCCCCTACACCCAAAACCCTAAAAACCCTCAACTTTCAACCCCAAGCCCCTCAACCCTGGTGGCACGCACCTGCCGAAAGGTGCCACCGCTGGCCGACCACTGAGTTGTAGCCTGGGCGCAGGGGCTTTCGGGGACTTCTGATTTCCGAGCGCAAATCGTGGAACCCTTTTTAATAAAAGTGTGTGTGTGTGGAAAGAGTATGTATGTTTTTCTTGAATCTCATGAGCTTGGTTCATCACAGATATGAAGCCAAACTAAGCAATGCAATGGACATTTTGGGATTTGTCAAGAAAACAAGGGCGAACAGGTCCCTACACCTTAAACCCTAAACCCTGAGCCCTAAACCCTAACCCGAAACCTTAAACCCTAAACCCTAAGCCCTGAGCGCCCTTCGGCCCTTTGGCACGACGACGACGACTACTACTTCTTCTTCGATAACTCTTGCTACTCGTATTTTCTACCATTCACTATTAGTTCTCATTATTTCTGCGATTGTTATTTGTTACCCTGCTCAGGGATTTCACGTCACGTTCCACACTCGTTGTGTGCGTATGGACAGCTTCTGAAACTAGTCTCGGCTATAGGTCTCGCGAGTGGCGCGGGGACGTCATAGGAGCAGCCTTCTTCAAATGTGGACGTCGGGCGCGTGTTTCCAACGTCTCCCTTTCTCACGAGCTTGGCCGAAGTCTCCGAAAGTATTCCTGGGTGTCCTTGTGATTCATCCGGTCGATCATCATGGCAAGCCCAAATTGATCATATCGGCTCTTTTTGGGGTGCCCAAGCCAGAGGAGGACGGTGCCAAAAGCACAAATTTACCTGAGCCTACTTTGGTTGGGTGGGTTCGCTGCTCGTGATATCCACGCACTCCTTGGTCTTCGGATGAGATGCTCTGAGTGGGATGCAGATCTCGTCGCTTGCCCCCAGTTTTGGGGGCGCTTGCAATGACATTTTCAAGGAGCGCTTGGGGTACAGTGGGGGTCTACGCCCTTCGTTTCGAGCACATGGATCCCCAATAAAGAAGAATCTCCATAGGATCTCCATAAACCATCTGGGTCCCACTGCTCGATGGCACGGTGTCATAGTAAGGCGCTGCAGCCCCCCCTTGGCGCGGATAGTGCATGATGCTCTCCTTGGCAATCAGAAGCCCAGTGGTGGAAGCAGGAGACAAGGGATTTTTGATCTAGATGAACAGCTAGGGTTTCGCATGCTGTCCTACGCTCGTTCACCCAATTTCAAAGCTTCAGAGTTCACGTGGAGGTGTGAGTGATTGTTGGCATGGTTTGGGTTGGGTTTTGGGGTCCACAGGGTTTGGGGCAGAGCACCCGCGCTCTCTTTTTCTGTTCGCGCATGCAGCTCTGCGGTCTGTGGCAGCAAGATGCAGTTTCTCATGCCGCACACTCAAGCAGAACGAACACACAGAGAACTGCACCAGGGCACGACACTGCAAAGTGCCCAGAACACTCTGGCAACGTGCCCCTCTGGGCATGGGCGGCTTGCAGCAAGCTGCCTCAGAGCTCGTCTCCGTAGCCTTCTTCCTCACCTTCTCCCTCTGCCTGAGTGCTGTCTTCAACATCGGCGGTGGGACGAATTTGCTAGCACACCCTTCAATTTCCTGTTGGGCTTCAGTCCTTGAAAGCTCCGTAAGAAAACTGGGCAAAGCTGGAAGAAACGGAAGTCCGGACAAATGACCCAGTATAAGGCCTTGCGGGTCTCTAGTTAGATTTTGTCGATCACAGGAACCAGCGAGCTGAGCAACTGTCGCGAAACGTTGGCCGCACCAAACTAGCTGCTCACCTTCTTCTTGTGGCCACGACCCCTCTGCCAGATACCCAAAGTTCGGCTCTTGCGAACCCTAAGCCCTAAACCCCAAACCCCAAACCCTAAACCCTCTAAACCTTAGACGGTGCTAAGCAAAGCTTTGAGCCCTAAACCCGACCCAATCCAGGCAATGAGAACAGGAATGCGGGGTAGCTTTACAATACATCGATGCATACACATATTGCAGAACATGTATACATATATAATATATGTGCATATGGAGGAAATATCCAAGGGATAGTATGGTCAACCATTGAAGCACAACACCCTTTGAACCCCAAAAGCCCTGCAAGAGCCGCCCCTCCCCCGGCCCCCCGCCCCCAAAACCCCGAGCCTCGAGTCGCCAAAGCGTCCCTCCTAACAGCAAGAAACTCACAAATTTTAAACTCCAAAACCCAAACCCCAAACCCTAAACCCTAAGCCCGAACTCGCAACGCTTCTTCGGTCTCCAGCGGCCTCTTCGTACTCCTTCTCCAGGGCAGCCAGGTCCTCACAACAACGAATTTGCACATGGCCACCCCTAAACCCTAAACCGTAAACCCTAGACCCTCCAGGCAGCGCCCGTCACTTCAAAGTTCCGACGCTGGGTCGCGGAATCGAAGTCGGAAAGAAACCCCTCCCCCCTGGTATGACATCCCCCGCACTGCTTGGGATTTCAGGACTAGATACACGTAAACCTTAAGAATCAAGCTCGGGGTCCTTCGCCCACGTAGTGATGGACGAAGGCACGCTTCCTTGGAAGGTGTACGGAAGTACACACAGCTGACCAGCCTTAACCAAGAATCCAACAGGGGCGAGCCTGAAGAATCCACAAGGAATGGTTTGTCACAAGATCCGAGGCTTGGGCTTCTTCGGGAGGGGCTTCAGGCCTCAAGGAGCTCAGGAATTCTTCATCGTGGTATTTCAAGCCACGAATTTTTTCAGGGCCTGCTTCAAACTGCCTGTGTATGTGGTGTATGTGGAGGCTGCTCCCTGAAAATCGGGAGGTGCGTTTGTCCTGTGGGGGCCGAACTGGGTTTCGGCCTGTGGTGCTCGTGGGAATCCCCCCCGTTCAGTTCGCCAAGGGCTCTGAAATAGGATGCTGGGGGGGGGGGGGCTGGAGCTGGAGCTGCCGCGGGCGCACGCACGCAAGTCGGTTTATGCAAGCACGTGCACACCTTGAAACCTGAAGTTTGCAAAGGAAACCTCCTGTAAAGATGCCCTAAGGTACCTACCTCATGGGCCCCAAGACTCCGAACACTTGAAGCTACCGAGGTGCGAGTACATGAGGTCGAACTTGTGGTCGATGCGCGAGGACTTCCTCGGAAGGATTCTCACCACTCTGCAGTGGTCTGCAGTGGTGAAGGCCGGTTCTTGCTTTGGAGCCTCAACCCAGAAGAAGGGACTGTTGTGGCGGGTATACGAGCGCCACAACAGGCCTTTCTGTAGGTTCAGCCCAAACGCTGAATCCCAAACTCCAAAAACTCTGTGGCAACAGAGAAGCTTCACCGGACTTAAGTGCCCAACTTTTTTAGCTCAGCTTACACTTGAGACTTATGCCCTAAGATGGCTGTACCAAACAAGGATGGTTCGATCGTGCGAGCATGTTGAGACGCGGGGCGGCAATGGCAGTGGAGTTTGAGATCATGCAGCATGCGCGCATGACCTTTGCCAGGTCTCCACCTCAGGGCCACAGAAGAGCCAGAGTGTCGGGCAATGGGTTTGAAGACATGCTTACCCTCCCTTGCAATCACGCTTTCAAAGGTCCCATATACATCTCAAAACGAACTAGACTGGCCTTGAACAAAACTGAGACACCTGCTGCAAGGAACACGTAAACCTTAAAATGAGCTCCCTCGCCTGGAACCACGGTGGGGGGCTGGTAGTTGATGCCGCACTTGAAGCCCGTCGGGCACCAGTCCTTTGGGAGTTCTCGGCCCTTTTTCGGGGTGTGTTGAGGGCTTGTAGACGCAGGGGGGGTCGAGGGGGAATTCCAATTTTGGCTGTTCTGTGTTTTATATTTTTTTTTGCTTCTGTATTTCATCGCAGGCGGGATCAATGTCTGAAAACAGCTTTGCGCCGTTGCGCCGTTGCGCTGTTGCGCCGTTGCGCCGTTGCGCCGTTGCGCCGTTGCGCCGCGCTAGGTGTAGACAGGGCCGGGGATAGGTTCCATGCCATTGCGCCGTACGCTGTTGCGCCGCGCTGCTGGCTCGTCCACGCGCGGTGGTGGTCGCATGCGCCGTTGCGCCGCACCGCCGTACTGGGTACATGCGTTCCGATGTCAGGTCAAACGACGCCGTTGCGCCGTTGCGCCGCTGCGCCGCTGCGCCGTTGCGCCGTTGCGCCGCGCCGCCGTACCGGGTACACGTGTTATTCCGCTGTCAGGTCAAACCACGCCGTTGCGCCGTGCCGCCGTACCGGGCACATGTTCCACGCAGATTATAAGGGAGTTTAGGGTTTGGGGGGGCCGCGTTTACGCCACCTGCACAGGTCTGGGAGCCACCACGACACCCCCGCCGCCCAGAAATTACGCAACACCCCCCGCCGGACGCAGATTATGTTTTGCTTCAGGGAGAGGGGGAGCCAGGATTGCATTACTTGCACTGCTCTGCACAGGTCTGGGAACCACGACACCCACGACACCCCTGCGCCCAGGAGTTACGCCACGCCGTGGTTCTGGGTAACCCCTTCCTTTGTACTGGCAAAGCACGGAGCGTACTCAACTAGCAACCGCCTAACCCCCCACGAGGGGGTTCTGGGTCCCCCAACTGGCGAAGCACGGAGCGTACTCAACTAGCAACTACCATTTTCCCCCCTAACCCCCCACGAGGTGGTTGTGGGCAACCCCCCCCACTGGCGAAGCGCGGAGCATACTCAACTAGCAACCATGTGTCCTCACCCGAACCTATTAACCCACGACGATGGAGGTTTTGGGTAACCCCCCCACTGGCGAAGCACGGAGCGTACTCAAAAATAGCAACCGTGCAGAGACTTACCCCTGTACTCTGTCTCTTCCACACAGAAGAACCTCCCCACTCTGTGCCTAGAGAGAAACAATTAACCCCGTGGTAACGTTCTTGCCTTGGCACGCAGGTGCTTCTGGTAGGGTTTTTGTCTTGGCGGCTTGGCAAAGCGAGCGAGTGGCGGTGACGCAGGTGCTTGTGGTAAGGTTTTTGTCTTGACACAACGCGTGGCGGTGACGCAGGTGCTTGTTTGTGGTAAGGCTTTTGTCTTGGCAAAACGCGTGGCGGTGACGCAGCTGCTTCTGGTAAGGTTCTTGTCTTGGCAGAACGCGTGGCGGTGAGGCAGGTGCTTGTGGTCGTGGCGGTGGTGCAGGTGCTTGTAGTAAGGTTTCTGTCTTGGCGGCTTGGCAAAACGAGTGGCGGTGACGCAGGTGCTTTGGTAAGGTTTTTGTCTTGGCGGCTTGGCAAAACGAGTAAGGTTTTTGTCTTGGCAAAACGAGTGGCAGTGACGCAGGTGCTTCTGGTAAGGTTCGTGTCTTGCCAAAACGCGTGTCGGTGACGCAGGTGCTTGTGGAAAGGGTTGTGTCTTGGCAAAACGCGTGGCGTCGACGCAGCCTCTTGTGGTCAGGTTTTTTTCTTGGCAAAAAGCATGGCGGTGACGCAGGTGCTTCTGGTAGGGTTTTGTCTTGGCGGCTTGGCAAAATGAGGGGCGGTGGCGCAGGTGCTTGTGGTGAGATTTTTGTCTTGGCAAAACGCGTTGCGGTGACGCAGGTGCTGCTGGTAGGGTTTTTGTCATGGCGGTGGTGCAAGGTGCTTGCTTGTGGTAAGGTTTTTGTCTTGGCAAAACGCCTGGCGGTGACGCAGGTGCTCGTGGTAAGGTTTTTGTCCTGGCGTTTTGGCAAAACGCGTGTCAGCGACGCAGGTGCTTGTGGTAAGGTTTTTGTCTTGGCACAACGCGTGGCGTGGCAAGGTTCTTGTCTCGGCGAAACGCGTGGCGGTGACGCAGGTGCTTGAGGATTTTGTCTTGCCAAAACTCGTGGCGGTGACGCAGGTGCTTCTGGCACGGTTTTTGTTTTGCCAAAACGCGTATCGCTGACGCAGGTGCTTGTGGTAAGGCTTTTGTCTTGGCAAAACGCGTGGCGGTGACGCAGGTGCTCGTGGTAAGGTTTTGTCTTGGCGGCTTGGCAAAACGAGTGGCGGTGATGCAGGTGCTTGTGGTCACAGGATTTTGTCTTGGCAAAACGCGTGGCGGCACAACCGTGGCTGTGACGCAGGTGCTTGTGGTAAGGTTTTGTGTCTTGGCAAAACGCGTGGCGGCGACGCAGGTGCTTGCCGTAAGGTTTTTGTCTTGGCGGCTTGGCAAAACAAGTGGTGGTGGCGCAGGTGCTTGTGGTCACAGAATTATTTTGTCTTGGCAAAACGCGTGGCGGTGACGCAGGTGTTTGTGGTGAGGTTTTCGTCTTGGCAAAACGCGTGGCGGTGACGCAGGTGCTTGTGGTGAGGTTTTTGTCTTCCCCCCCCCCACTGGTGACACATGGAGCGTATTCAACTATCAACCATGCGTCCTGCCCCAAACCCCCCCCCCCCAACGAGGTGGTTCTGGGTAACCCCCCAACTGGCGAAGAACTCAACTAGCAACCATTTTTCTGCCCCCCAGGGTCCCCTTAAAGGAGGCTCTCCCGTTTGCATGCGTGAGCCCACGGGGTCTGTGATGGTTCGGCCTTTTTCAGACCCCCTGAAACCCCCACGTTACCTGCGTTCCAGTCATGGATTGGAAGACGCGCTGCACACGCGAGGGGGTGGGGGGAATCACCCGGCAGCTTTTCCACAGAGACGTGGAACCCGCACCGTGAACTCAGGGACGTTTGAGTGCTTGGGGGTGGCCTGTGGATCCCCTAAAGTGCCTTCTAGGGACCGCCTGGAGACTTCGTTAGGGCGGCAGTGACATTTCCACGTGCGGGGGCCCCTGCCAACCCCCCTAAAAACATCTGTGTGCTCTCTACAACCCCTCCTAAGAGTTTTGGACTGTCGGGAATGGGACTGGGGACGAAAATTCTGCTGTCGGATGTCGGTGATGCTGACGATGACAACTTTGGCTACAGTGGCGAAGCAATGCAGCACGAAGCAGCTGCGCGCCGCTGGCTCTGAGAGCACGGAGCAACGGAGCACGGAGCGCTGCACCGGAGCAACGGAGCGCGGCACCAGAGCAACAGAGAAACGGAGCGGATCCGCGCCGTTGCGGCGCCGACGCCCCTGCACAGAGCAACGGAGCACGGCGCGGAGCAACGGAGCACGGAGCAAAGCAACAACCCGTATCCAACGGAGAGCGGGGCACGCAGCAACGGAGCAACGGAGCGGAGTCGCGCCAATGGGGGAGACGGGGACGGCAGGGCACGGAGCACGGGGCAACGGAGCAACGGAGCGGAGCAGTTTAGAAGACACGAATTGCACCTCCAATGGGTCTCCAATGCTGTATGTTTTTATTTTTATTTTAATTGGCGGGGGGGGTGGTGGACCCAATTCAAAAAATTAAAAACACTACAAAAATGTTTTAAAAAAAATCAAAATTAAATAGGGGGTTGGGGAGGGGGGAAGGGGCTTGTGCGGGAGGGGGTGGTCTGGAGGGAGGGGGGTGGTCTGGGGGGGGGGGGGGCTTCAAAAGAATTTCAAAAAATATAAAAAGTACAAAATTAAAACGGTGGCGGGGTATTTCTATATACACACACACACACTGTTTATCGCGTCATCTTGGCAAGCATTGCGGAAGAAATAAATCCCACAAGTTTCTCTTTTTTTCCGGGGTTTGCAAGGTGATGGCGCATCCTGGTGTAGCTCCCATGAACCTCCGGGTCCCCTTGTATACCCCCCATCTTCTGTGCTTTCGATTGCTTCTCGCATTCTCGCTCCTGATGCTGCTATGCTCTTAGAACTTCCGAACGGCATGTCTGCACGTTTATTTCTCTTTGCACCAGCAGGACCTATGGGAGCCATCGCTGCTGCTTCCATGGGCTTGAGCCGCAGTGTTTAGGCTTTGGGGTTTCTGGGCCTCGAGAATTCCCTGAAAATTCTGAGACATATTCGACTATTCCCCCAGCTTTGGTACTCATAAACCCAAAACCCCCCAACCGGCCGCAACAAGAAGCGCAACATCTTAACTTCGCTTGTCAGCCCTTCTGCGTTTGGGCTTGAGATCTACTGCAGCAGGTGCTGAAACACCGCACGCCGATGTAAGAAGTCGTGGCAGATAACGAGCTAAGTCCCAGTCCACCATGACGCAACACGGGACGAGCTTGCTGGCACCAGTCTCGCAGAAGAAAGTGTTAGATGCATCGTCTCCGCCTCCGACGGTCTTGTCCTAAGTTCAGCCATCTCAGCAGGCCCTTCTTTCAGGCTCTAGGCCTTGCTGTTCACTTTGTGCACCACAACAGATATATACAGGCAAGCGTCGCTGGGCATCTGACCATCCGGCTTAATTTTTCATGCTCCAGGCAGAAGAGCTCCCAGCAGGCGTTTCCGATCTGCACGCCACCCTGTGCAAACAGTATTAAAAGCTAGGCGCGCGCGCGCCCGCTGTAAGCGTAACCCCTCGAACCCTCGTCACCCCGAACTGGGGCTCTTCTGCTACCAATGCAGGGATGCTTGTGCGCGCCTGGCCAATGTGAATGCAGATAGCCTCACGCATGGCTGCGAAGCGAAACACGGGGGACTGCTTCGAAAGGCAAAAGCACCGAGGGTGTCCTCGACCACAGCGTGATGTAGCGGCCTCAAACACCTTTCCATTGAGCCGAGACGGCGCGACGAGAGCTGAGAAAGCCCATGTCCCTGCAGCGGCAAAGAGCCTGCGTGTCTTCAGATCTGCCTAGTGCCCGTGACAGCATCGCTATCCCTGAGTGGAAGAGCATCGGTCCTTAAAAGCTGCGCCTCCTGAACGACCCAAAAACCGACGGAAAGCCTTTAGACCCAAGGGGCGAAGTCGTAGGGAGCATAGCCCACGTGAACGTCTCCCTCGCCTTCGTAGCCCGAGCCCGTGTAGGGTCCTCAGAGGGCGTTTTTTAGGGCTTCGTCCAGAGAACGGGAGCCAGGCATCATGGTGTGAAGACCGCTACAGCCGCCTACAGCTCTAAGGCCCTAAACCGCCTAAACCCGAAAACCCTAACAGCGAAATCCTCAAAAGACTCGCTGCAGGGGTTTCGGTTTGAGTTTAGGGCTTTCGGGTCGAGGGCTAAGGGTTCCGGAGGGCTACGATATAGGAGGGTTGAGGGCTTTGCCCAAGTTTTAGAAAATCACACTTCTGAGCTTGGGCCCTCGAAAGCACCATCTTTTATCCATTCTCACAGACATCATGAGTATTGTCGTGATCATCGTCGTCATTGTCATTGCTGCTCTGCTGATTCGTCTTACTGGCATCATTCTCAAACTCTTTCTCAATATCACTACCACTGGTCATCATTCTGATTCTCAGCATGATGATCATCATGAGGATGACGGTTTTCGCCAAAGAAAAGAGAAAAGCTGCCTCGACCAGGTTATGCAGAGAAGGCGCTGTTATCTGGGGTGTACTGCCCGACCCAGGTGGAAGCCACGTTTTCCCAGTACCTCAGCAGTTCAGGGTCCAGGAATTTAGGGGTTTAGGGTTGCAGGCTTAGGAAAGCTTAGGGGCTTCAGGCTTAGAGCTGAGGGGTTTAGAGATCAGGGTCTCAGGTTTAGGGTTTTTAGGGGGGTTTCGGAACCCATAGTCGCGCCGGGGCACATTTTTAAATGCGGACCGTGGCCGAAATACTCCTCGGAGACAGCTGCTTCCCGAAAATTGAGTGAAAAAATAAGAGATATCGTTCTCAGTGTGAGCCCGTTCTCATGTTGATCTTAGTTCTTGCATTAGTTGGCGTATTCGTGTTCGCGGCTGCATTATTACGGTTATGCCCTCATAAGCAATTTGCTATGAACTTCTCAATTTCCTTATCCAGTATCTTGATTCCAATGATGAGTATCGTTATCCAGACAAAAGGCCCTGATAGGAAACCCTAAACCCTAAACCCTCAACCCTCAACCCTCAACCCTCAACCCTCAACCCTGTACCGGTTGGGACTCTTGGGAGTCAGGCTCCCAAAAGGCCTTGTATCTCATAGAGGGGTATATTACCTTTCCCTCAACCAAACCCGAAATCCCCAAACTCCCTAAGCAAAACCGATTCAGACAGGAGGTGATACTTGGAGGTTCATGGCACTTACTAACCAACTGTGTTCCAAAAGAAAGGGTCTTGGGCCCCCCAAGGGCCGTCAAGGAAGTGGAGTTGTGTCGATCAGCACTCCTGAGAGCCATCCGCGCGCTTCTGCGTGTGGTGCATGCCGAGGCCTGCGCAAGAAGAAAGATGTAAAACCCCTTAAACCCCCTGAAAAAGCCCTTAAGACCCTTGAAGCCCGTAAAGCCTTTTTGAACCCCTTCAACCCCTTAAGGCCCCTTTCAACCCCTTAAGGCCCCTTTCAACCCCTTAAGCCCCTAAACCCCAAACCCCTCAAACCCCGAAAGAACAAAAACAACAAACCCGTCAGCACTTAAGGTTTAGGATGTCAAGGTCGGAGGTTTAGGTGCCTTTGCTACTCTCTTTTTGCTTGCCTTGTTGGGGCGGCTTAGGGGTTTGGGGGGGGGCGGAGCGTTGGTCTCATGCTTATGGGCCCGTCTCTGTTATGGCCCTTTCGGGCCCCATATTAAGGGATCCCACAGGTTGGGGATCCCACAGGTTGGTTCAGGGCTGACTGTCGGTAAGCAGGGAAGTATATACTTCTCCATCATGACTACTAGTAGTACCTGGCAGACATATAGCGCTAGCCAGCATTCTTTTCGGGCCTTCGCGGGGCGTTGGCCTAGCGGTTTGGAAGCCAGGCGAGCTTGGGGTCATCAGTATGCCCTGCTGTCCTTGCTGTGTTATTGATAGTACAGTTGCTTCTACTGAGAAGTATTCCTAGCCCTCAGGGTGTTCAGGGTCTGAGGGGGCCCCTTGTGCATAATGCATCTTCACATTGTATGCACGATACATGCATGCATAAACAGATATCTAGATGAAAATGTACATAAATACACACAGGATTTACGTACATTACACTACACTACACTACACTACACTACAGTACACTACATTACACTACATTACACTACCTTACACTACATCACACTACATCACACTACATCACACTCACTCACTCACTCACGCAGCTGAATGGCGGACGAGTCAAAGTCTGCCTAGCTGAGCACTCTGCTCTGGGAACATGATAAGAGTCAGTCGCCTGCTGTCCTCCCCGATTGGAGTGGAGGCACTGACCCAATGCAGATCGCATGGGGATAGCCGAGGTGAAAGAACAGAACACAGAAAAGAACACACCCCCGAGGCACCACCCACGGACCTGCGAGTACCCCCTCACTAATTGCCGGATGTGGGCGCCTTCACCCACGATCGTGGCATTAGCTACGGATTCGGCCAACTTACTTGCTTTGGATTTCCTCCAACAGCGCCTGGAGCTCACGCTCAAGGCCGCCCTTGGGAGCTAAGCCGAACTTTTCTTCCCCTCCTTGCGTTTTGAACGCGTGGAAAAAGGCGTCAGCTACTGGTCTCAGCTTGTCAGTAGTGGTCAGGTAGATCTTCACATGCTTGCCACCGTACGCAGGAGCTACTCGACAGTACAGCACATCCGTCAGCAACTTGTTGGGAGAGTCGGCTTCAGCAGCATGGGCTTCGACACGCTGCAACATCTCTCCGCTGAGATGCACGGCTGCTTCAACTGTCAGCGCTGCCCACACATGGATATGTGGAGGGCCAAGGTCGTGGTGCTTCCCTGCGGCCTGAACGAGGTCATTGTACTTCTGACTGGCTTCCTTCGCCTTGGTCACGAAAGAGGCCGTAGATGGGATGAGGCAAGTCCGGAAAGTTGCCGACTGCAAGGCCCGTACGTCTGCAGACAGCTTCAAGTTGGACTTCATGAGGAGCTGAACCGCCTTCAGGACAAGCTCGTCTTTCTCACCTCCAACTTGCCTGCGCTTCAGCGCCGGCCCGTTGGGAGTTCCAGCATTTGCCGCCCACTTATCCATGACGTTTAAGGAACTCTCGACTACGCTCTCACTATAGCTGTGCGCCCAAATGCTGCCCCAAATGATCGTGCAAGGCCTCAAGAGTCTCAAACTGTGCGTCACACATGCTGCAGTCAAGATTGTCCGGAATATCTGGTGCCCTGTTGACAACACTAGACCGACCACTGCAATGCTGCTGTAGGAGGGAATTCGCCACATGTCTCCGCGTCGAAAAAACATTTGCAAAAACCTCCCTGCAGAACAAGCATTGATTTGTGACCACAAGCAAAGCTTCCATCGGTGAATGCTCATGTAGCTTGGTGCAGTGTATTGCCAAGGCTTTACTCGACTTGAAAGCTCTACCGCACAGAGAACCATCTGAAAGTGTGTGCTCGCACACATGCTGCTCGTCATCTGGAATGTCGGGCAAGTCTTCGGGAGCCTGTTCTCCCTGCACTGAGGGGCTCTGGTATCCTGGTGGGGGGATTTCCACACAGAGAAACTTGCGCCGGAGAATGGACATGTCAACCATAAGAAAATCCAGTCTAACGTCATGGCTGAATAGGCGTAACGGCTTCCTGTCCACTGCGTTGGTGATATGCTCCAGGTCGGCGATGTCTTGCAGAGCTTCGATATCATCAACCAACTGTTTGAGCCACGGATGCGCTGCAGAAGACAAGGAGCCATCCTCTTGCAGCGCGGGGGTTGTTTCAAACGGGAAGAACCCGAACATAGCAGCGAAAACATTGGAGTGAAGTTCTGGTTGTCGTAACAGACGTTGCCAGAATTGCAGGCGTTTGATACGCAGTTCCACGTAGACTCCTGCAAGCCCAAGATACCGCCAGACTTGTTGGTTGGGGACAGCTGCATACTTGACAGTACCGTCCGGCTGTTCTTCGCGCTTGCACGCGCTTCCTCGCATGAGGATGCGCCCTTTGGCCGCGACAAAAGCATCGAGGGCCTTGTAGTCGGATTGACTGAGGACGAAGGGCGCCAAACCAGCCACAGCAGTCTCGAAGACCAATGCTCGGAAGACCATGTTGACGGACCGTTTGCTACAGCCTGTCCGCGTCCAAAATGAACCCATACTTGCCCAGGCTGCCTGAGCTTTGTCCAGGCGGTGCTTGCGAGCAGCAGTAGTGGAGCCATTGTGCGTGCAGATCTCTCCCAAGTATTTGGCCTGCGGCACTGCTTTCCCCTCGAGTGGAGTCTTGCCGCAGTAGATTTCTCGCATCTGCTTGTGAGATCCTCTGCCAGCAAAATGCGACACGATTTCTTGCTTGTCGCGGTTTTGCGCCATACCACCACTTGCGAGCACTTCGTCCAATTCGTCATCCAGGAAAGATGCTTGCGCTTGCAAATCCGCAGCCTCGTCGCAGATGACCTTAATGGCGAGGTCATCCGCGAAGACGGATAACGCAGTGTTGACATATTTGCAATTGACCGGATCATATGCGCACATTTGGTGATAGGTGGAAGCTTGCGCTGCTCTTTGCAACCATTCGTCAACCAGGGGATGATACTGCTCCATGAATAAATCTGACGCAATGCTGTCGCCTTGGAGAGCACCACTGCCAACTGAAAGCAATATGGGCCCGTCAGCGGCCTGCAAGTGTATACAGGCAGCCTTGTGCCGTTGCTTGAGCAAAACTTGATCTTGTGGCCGCATCGTCTTAGCAACCGCCAGGTCCAGCTGGTCATGCAAAGGGGAATAAAAGGCATTTGCCACGTCTTTGTAAAGGGTAGCATGTCCAACACCGGCAGCGCGCAGCCGGTGCCCCAAGCAAATTTGCTGCAAAATAGCCTCTTCGCGGCTTTTGTGTCTAACATAGCCGCACGCGTAATCTCGAGCAGCTTGCGACGTGCCTCTGCGCCACAGTGTGCGGTAGAAATGTTTGCCCATCGGGTCCAGCACGTTGATGACTCGGATGCCCTGACATAAGGGCTTGCCATTGCGCTTGTCAAGCTGCGTGCCCTGCGAGCAATGCCACTCCAAGGGCGCTGATTCTGAGCATCGTATGTGCACGAAGAGCTGCTGTAGCGCGTTTTGCAGATGCGGAGTTTGCAAACACGCGGACTTGTGCCCAAGACCATGTCGAGCTCTTGCCAGGTTGTAGTTGGGATATAGCAGCATGCGCCACACTTCATTGGGAATAGTCCAACAAGGTACAGCCTTGCGTGTTTTTGCATGCCAAACTTGGGTAGCCACAGCACGCAAGTCCTCAGCTGCCAACTGCTGCATTTGACTACGCCATACCGGATCAGCTCGGCATTTTTGTTGCCAGCCAGTAGCTCCATGAGCAAACTGTTGGACGTGCGCTGTCCAGTTTGTAGCAACGGCCTTGCAGCCTCCATCACGCCCCACTTGTGCCATGTGCTGCCGCCATTGCTGCATACTGGGCCTGCAACTCTTCGGCCTATCGAACCTGCGTTGTTTGGGACCCACACGCCTGCCTGAAAGCGCTCGGGCAGCTCGCCACATGGACTGGAAGTTGGCACTCTGCCAACCTTCGTGAAGCTGGTGCACATGTTCACAGGCACGTCTTCTCTTATCTCTTGTTGTGAGTCGTTTAGCGAGCCGCTGAGCCTTGTGATACCGCGCCAAAGCATGCCATCTGCACAGCAAATCTGATAGCGCTTGTAATGACACAGTATCTCGGTCAGCTCCTTGGCTCCAGAAACGACGCGGGCGAGGAAGCCGTTGGATTTGTAGTTTGCATTCATGCTGGTGCTCCAGAGCGGCTGCTGTGTCAACTTTCCGCTCTTGGAGTTTGACTGGGCGAGACTGATATAACTCTCTGCCAACGGACAACACCACATCACGTAGCATGGTCCAGGCATCATCTGGCGTGCTTGCCGACTGGGCATGCTGCCATTGGGAACTCTCCAAGAGGTCTTTGCACCGGGACTCAACCTCTGCCACCAGTTGCTCTCGACAGTGTCCTCGAAGAACGCCTCGCATGAGTCTGTCCATATCCCAGCGTGTCGGGGACTGTTGCTGCATGGTGAGTGTCGGCTGCAGCCCCAACGAATGGTCGAGCTTGATCTGTAGAGGTCTGTGATCTCGGCGGCCTGGAGCCGCCACCAGCTGCAGATCGTCGCCTGTGTGATGCCACACAGAGCAATGCTGGACTTGAGATAACATGCTGGATGGAATGCATATAAAATCCACGCGGGACGTATAATCTGCAACGATTCCGAAATAGGTTGGTCCAACATTGTGATAAGTGTTGGTAGCTGCGAGGTAATGCCTCTGCAAGAACTGGCGGAACTGTTCTCCGTTCCAATTCTCGTTGTCTGCATTGCACGGGCCGATGGACTCATCTTGCGTGGTCGTCCATATGTTGTTTGCCACATGTTCCTTACCAACACGCGCGTTGAAGTCGCCAAGCAAGCAGGGCACACATCGTGCCGGCAGAGCACTGACAACACTATCAACCCATTTCCAAAGTGCAGTGTTGACGCGTTTCGAATACGGCAGATTGGAGTTGGGATGGAAGTAGCACACGATGAATGCAAAGTCGGAGTCACGTCGCTTGACCCGCAGTGCCCCACCACGACCTTGCAACTCGCTGGGCGGGGACGAAATCTGTACCACGTTATCAGCTGCGAAGCGGCTGCGTTTGAGGCATAGCTGAACTCCAGCATGAGAGTTGGTGAGCCTCCCTGTTCCGTATCCCCAACTATACACAGCATGCGTTTCAACTCTACGCTGACTGACTGCGATGTCGCCATCTGGCAGACGGGTGCCGGACAGTGCGATGACATCATTGCTGTGTAATGCATGTATGACTCGGCGCTCTCTGTCAGCTCGTTTGAGAGATTGTGGATTGTAAGCGATGAATTTCCATCTGACCATTCTGAAATCAGCAGCAGGAAAACACTGATGAGGGGGCCAGCGCGAAAGTGACCCGTCATTATCAAATGAGCAGAGTGCCACACGGACTTACCATGGCATGATTCCGCATGACTTTGGACTTGTGCCACGCGGCTACTACATCACACTACTTCACATCACATCACATTACACTACACTACACTGCACTACATTAAGTTACATTACATTATATTACATTACATTATATTACATTACATTACGTTGCTTTACATTGCATTGCATTACATTACACTACATTACATTACATTACATTACAGTACATTACATTACATTTCTTATATATATATATATGTATATACACACATGCAAAATGTATATCTGTATATCAAATTCCAAATGCGCGGTTCAAGCTCCTGAGGAAGACCTTCTCAGCCAAGCTGCAGTGTCCGATCTCATGCATGATGCTGCCTCAGTTTTCGGGTTTAAGGTTTAGGGTTTAGGGTTTGGGGTTTAGGGTTTAGGGTTTAGGGTTTAGGGTTTAGGGTTTAGGGTTTAGGGTTTAGGGTTTAGGGTTTAGGGTTTAGGGTTTAGGGTTTAGGGTTTAGGGTTTAGGGTTTAGGGTTTAGGGTTTAGGGTTTGGGGGGGTTCTTCTGTCTGCTATGCTAGATGCTGCCAGCCCCACATAAAAAGATTTGTGTTTGGTTGTCTACAGTTTTAGGTCCTGGGGCCTTTGTATGCGCACAGTTGCGATAATGAGCTCCGACTAACTTTTGGTCGCAGGGTTGGGTCTGTGGTGTAGGGTTTCAGGGTTTAGGGTTTGGGGCTCAAGCTTTTAGTGGGTTGTCTTCGGGCCCAATCTTGGGTAAGCGAGTAGGGTGGGGTAGTGCAGGATCCCACATCCCTCTGGAACGCGACACATTCATTCCCTGAATAGAAGGTCGCCACAACAGCAAGACAAGCCCCGAACTCGAATATAGAGGCATCTTTGGGCACTTCCTCAACAGGGTTCCCCCTCATATACCCGCAAAACAATAGCATCCTGACGGATTATGATGATGAGAATTGCAACCCCCAAAAATGAAAACCCCTGCTGGCCCCTTCCCGTACTGCACCCTTCCCAAGGAGCCTTTCTGGGACACGCTGTTGCACCAGCCCATGAAAAGGCCAGTTGGGTTCCATTGGCCGACATGGGCCCCGCCTGCAGGCTATGGGGTGGAACCTTCTGGGGGGCCAGGGCTCAGGTTGTAGGTTGAAGCAGCTTTCAGGGGGGCGTTTCGGGGCTTAGGGGTTTCTAGGGGGTTCTTATTAAGGGTCTCTAGTTGTCTAGGAGACGAAGACCACGAACACCCCCAACACGAACACGCAACAAGGAGAACCCCCCCTTCAGCTATTGACAGGTTCGGGGCCACAGAACAGGCATTGAGATGCGGACCCTCATGCCTAGGAGCAGAACAGCAGCGCGAAACAGCGTACGACACAGGGACTGGCTTCGGACGAGAGAAGAGTCGTGTAGAGACCCTCTGGTACCCACTCCCCGATGCTCTGAAGAGGTCTCTCTCCGCGTCAGCTCTTGCAGCCAAAGTCGCAACCACCGCTCCCTCCATCCACTTTGATGTATGCCCTTAGGGCTTTGTGCAGAAGGGCTCAAAGAGAGCCCTCGACTTCAACCCCCTGAGTCTTCCTCTTCGTTTTCGAGGTCTGAGAACTGAAGTCGCTTGAAGCGCAGAAGCTCCGCTTCTCTTCCGCGCGCTTCAGGCGTAGCCGGCTTTGACAGCGATTGCTGCAACTGCTGCAACTGCTGCAACAACTGCAGCAATCACAAGTACGACACATATGACTACTATGACTACTAGAGACGACATGCGACGACTACCACTACCAGTGACACTGCTTCTTCTGCTACCCTACTTTCCTTATCTAAGTCTATTTTCTTATATTGCTATTATTGTTCCGTGTTGTTCTTGCGCATTTTGCTCTTCATGCCGCCGAGGAGCATCGTTCCGGTCATCGTGTGGTCCTCGATCAGGGCAACACCTTAGGCTTCAGCAGCATGGGCGCTTGGGAGGGTTTATGGGTTAGGGTTCAGGGTTTTAGGGTTCAGGGTTTAGGGCTTAGGGCTTGGGGCTAAGAGTTTAGGGATTGGGGCTGAGGGAGTTCAGGGAGGGGACTAGGGCCGGCAGCGTGAGGGTTTGAAGATCGAGGGCTTCAAGAAGCGCTTCTTGCACCTCTGGTTGCCTCTAATTGTGTGCCGTGCCCATGACCCCCTCTCCGGCTTATGTGGCTCCCTCTAACTCTCTAATATGCGCCGGCCACTGACATCAACCCCCCCTCTACCCTTCCCCCATTTCTGCATGGTTGGTTTCTGACGTGCTTTGGCTAGAGGGCGGTGTAGGAATTTTGGGCTGGTAAAGGGCGGGGTTAAGGGCTTTGGGTACCAAAGACCCTTCGTCAAGCCATATTTCTGAAAGAGATCGGTCATCCAGGCAACCGCCTGAAACGCCCGCAAACCAAAGCCTAAAACAGAACCCTAAACCCCAAAGCCCTAAGCCACAAACCCTGCACCCCAAACCACAAACCCTAAGCCACAGACCCTGAAACCGAAAACCACGCACCGTGAAACCCCTAAATCTCAAACCAGGACTAAGCCACAAACCCTGAACCCTAAACCGCTAACCCTGAAACCCTAACCACAAACCCTGAAACCATAAACCACAAGCCCTGAACCCTAAGCCACAAACCCTGAACCCCAACATCCAAACCCTGAAAGCCTAAACCCCAAACCCTGAAACCCCTTAACCTCTAGCCCTGAAACCCCTCAACCACAACCCTGAAACCCCTTAACCTCAAACCCTCAAACCACAAACCCTGGAGCCCTAAACCCCAAACCCTGGAACCCTTAACTCCAAACCCTGGAACCCCTAAACCCCAAACCCTGGAACCCTGAACTCCAAACCCTGAGACCCTGAACCCCAAACCCTGAAACCCCGAACCCCCGAACCCCTGACCCAAAACCCCCAAACCCCCAAACCCCCAAACCCCAAACCTTGAAACCCTGAACCCCAAAACCCCATAACCCCATGACCCTAAGCCCTAGACCCAAGGCCCTAGCTCATAACCCTAAACCCTAAACTCTAACCGCAAACCCTGAAAACCCAAAACCCCAAAAACCCTGAACCCCCGAAACCCTGGAACCCCCTTTATCCCAAGTGGCAAGTCTCAGCTCGCCAGCCTTCCGCAGCGGCACGGAAGCCCTAGGCGGGTCCCTCAAGGCTTCCGAAGACCCGAATCCTGCCCTTTGGGTTTAGGGTTTAGGGCTTAGGGCTTAGGGTTATGGGGTTTAGGGTTTAAAGTTTGGGGTTATGGGGGTATGGGGTTATGGGGTTATGGGGTTTTGGGGTTCAGGGTTTCAGGGTTTCAGGGTTTCAGGGTTTCAGGGTTTGGGGTTTTGGGGTTTGGGTTTTGGGGTTTGGAGTTTAGGGTTTAGGTCCCCCAGCGAACCCCCCTCCCTCAAGGACGCCAGCTCGACGGGCGCCCAAGTCAAAGCCCCGAGCTTGGGGGGCTTCGAAGCTTTAGGGTTCAGGGCTTAGGGTTCAGGATTCAGGGCTTAGGGCTTAGGCTTAGGGTTTAGGGTGCAGGGCTTAGGACCCCCCCACCCCCCCCCCCCCCCCCCAAAAAAACAGAAAGTTGCCCACCAAAGCCTCAGAGGGCTCGAGCCCCCCAACAGGAGCCATGAGCCCCCACAACTTCGGACGAGACCTCCCTGGCTGGTCTCTGGAGGTTACGGCATGGTTGGGAGGTTTAGGTTTAGGGCTCAGGGTTCGGGCTGGGAAAGGTGCAAGGTTTCAGGCTTACGCGCCGGAGCTTCTGGTGGTGTGGGATTGGGGTTTTGAGGTTCCAGGATCAGGGTGTAAAACTTGGGGTTTAGGCTTTCGGGTTTGTTTTGGATTGAGTAAAGTGTCAAGGCTTCGGGGCTTTTAAGTGGCTTCGCCACACTTTGCCTCCTTTCGGGTCTCATCGTTTGCGATGGCGTCGGCCCAGTTGTACCGGATGACGACCTGGGTGCAAGCTTCGGCTCAAGGCTGGTGGACAGATGCTGGCAGAATGGAAGATCACATGATATAACCCTTTCTGTACATACATATATGTGTCTATGTATGTATATCGTTATCCCATATTGCAGGATAAACATAAACATATGCCGTGAGCGGGCTCAAGATAACTCCTTAAGAAAATGACCCTGCTTGGGTACCTTAAATAAAAGGGGGCCAGATTGAAAAAAGCTACCCAAAAAAGGGGACCCTAACTCAGGGAACCTAACATCGGCATTTTCGGGCCCGGGTCTTCTGGTCGACTCTTGTTGCAGCCTTGCACCTAGCCACATGATCTGTTACTGTGCTACTGTCCTGCTCTGTAAGGGTCTAGTGGAGTTCAAAGGCCTCACCCGAAATAGTCCCGAAATAGTGAGCTCTCAAATTACCTGGCATGCCCCACCTACTTGTCGCAAGGAGCAGGAGCTCCATGGCAGCCACATGCTGGCATAGCTACGACAGGCCATGAGAAAGACCTCACTGCCAACTATCAGAGCGGAGCGGCGTAGTCCTCCCATTGGTCGATCATGCCCTCCGGGGCCACGGGGTGCGCTCGCTCCAAGCTCGGCCGTGGTTGCAGTTGGGCACAGCCTGGAGCCCGACCCAAGGCAGAGGCTTCGTGGTTTAGGGTTTTTAGGGTTTCTATCGGAACCTGAGGGCGGTGAGGGTTTGGAGAGCGCTTGTGGAATATATATATATATATATATATATATATATATATACATATACATATACATATACATATACATATACATATACATATACATATACATATACATATACATAGAAATATACATATACATATACATGCATACATATACATATACATGCATACATACATGCATACATACATGCATACATACATACATGCATACATACATGCATACATACATGCATACATACATACGTACGTACATACGTACATACATACATACATACATACATACATACATACATACATACATACATGCATACAGACATACACATATATATATATATACATATAGAGATATTATACACACATTACATTATTGACCCCTCACCCCGAAAGCCCAGACCCCTAAACTTTAAAGCATGCTCGGCCCTGGCCGCTCCTGTCATAGTTGGGGTCTTCGCCGGCCCCCGTCTGCACTAGCCTGGCATCCTGAGGCTGCGCGGGCGCGAGCAGGCCCAAACCCTTAAACCCTAAACCCTAAACCCTACCCTAAACCCCGACAAGCCCGAGAAACTAGGGGGGCCCTTTCTGGTATAGCAAGTGCCCCCCCCCCCCCCCCACCCGCCCCCCACACCCCGAGGGCATCTCAGAGCGAGGCCTTCAGGGTTGCAAGGGTTCAGGGTTTCAGGGTTTTACGGTGCAAGGTATCGAGGGCTGAAAACGGCCCATCGAGATGCCAAAGATCCCTTGGGAACAGGCAGAACTACAAAGAAGCTGTGAACGAACGGACCGAAACACCATTCGACCCCGGCAAAAGCAAAAAATGAAGCAGTGAGTGAACCCGAAACCCTAAACCCGAAACCCTAACCCCAAAAGCCCTGGCCTTCCCTTCCTCCCCTTCCTTTTGGCTTCGGGTCGCAGGTCGCAAGTAGGGTAACTACATCGAATCGGTTCGGGCCTGTGCTTGAAAACCTGCCTCTATCCCTAGTTGCCCAGTACTACCTTCTCTACTACTTCAGTACCCATGAAGTCCTGTTCCATGGGCTCTGTGTCCTCCATCTGCCCAAGATGCCTCCGATTGCAGGCGCAAGGGTCCGGCTGTGTTTAGCTTCTCTCGCTTCAGTGGCTGGAAAGCAGAACTCTCCAAGACCCGGAGCGCAGATCAACAGATGAAGAAAAAAACGCGCTCCAGACCTTTGTTCCTATCTTGTATGTGTGCTGCCAGCACACATGTCGCAGTCATGCAACGTGCGAATGTGGCCCCTGAACCTGGCCCCCTGCGTGCTTCCAGCACCCCAGCCATGAAACTGTTGACATAAGACATAGCCACGCCACTGAAAACCTTGATTTCGGGCCACGTTTGCCTACGGAGATTCAAACAAAGCAACCGCATTCAGATATAGGATTTCACATGCCACACATACATTGAAAGGCGCGGCGCGCACACACACACACACACACCACACATGCGGTGTGTGTGTGTGTGTGCGCATATGTAAAAACACAAATAGAACTGCAAAAAAGGACAAATATCAGTACAGGCAGACATCGGCATCATCAGGTACATGGACAGTCGCAAAGTGGTTTGCCTTCATCATCCCGCTTTCCAGTCCTGCACTGGCCTCATCCATCTTAAAAAAGTAGCACTTGAACCAGTATCGTTTGAGATGGCCCATGTGTGTGCGCGCGACCTGCCGTATGTACAGGCAGGGGCTCGCATTCAGGACAGTCTATCACAGACATTCACTCCATAGGGGAGGGGGATATACGCATTTCTTCAGGCTCCTGTACTGCCCCTTGTCCCGTGGCGCCTGCCCGCCACAATCGAGGCGATGTAAGCGCTGCTCGTGCCCGAACTCTCGAGCAAGTGTGGCGGCACCTTATCCAAACGATGAAGAGCAGCATCGACCAGCAAACGACGCGGTCTCTAAGAAGTCAAAGGCTCATGCATACTCCCCAATGGCCCCCAATGGCCCGCGCATAAGAACCTACATGTTTGGACTAGGCAGGATAGCGTTTGCAAGAACTATGGAGGGAACAGTCTTCTTGCTTGCTGCACCTCCTACGAAACCCCAGAGCCTCGCGATTTTGGGTTGACATTGCTGTGAGTGAGCAGGATGGATGAAGCATGCGAGCTTAGGGGTTTGGGGATGGATGGTCGATTTCTTGCCGCCCCAGATGGCTCCCTAGGCAGACGCGCGCCCAGGCACCGAGCCACCCGACACGAACGGGCCTGAGAGAAGGTGGAGGATTTTAGCTTCGGCTTGAGGGTGTAGGTCCTTGCGGTTTTAGTTACATGTAGGGCTGCAGGAGGTTTTGGGAGGGATGTTGGCGGGGAGGAGGAATCAGCTTTGTGATCCGCAAGCCAGGCTTTCGCCGGCACGCATGAGCATCGCAGTTCCAAGACCAAAAGCATTCTTTTGTTGCTCTCTCTCTCTCTTTCAATCTCTCTCTCTCTCTCTCTTTCACTCTCTCTCTTCTTCTTCTTCTTCTTCTTCTTCTTCTTCTTCTTCTTCTTCTTCTTCTTCTTCTTCTTCTTCTTCTTCTTCTTCTTCTTCTTCTTCTTCTTCTTCTTCTTCTTCTTCTGCAGGGCTTGGGGGAGACCCCCCGCGCACCAGGCGCGCCCGGAGGTGAGTCACTCTCTCTCTCTCTCTCTCTCTCTTTCTCTCTCTAGCCCCCAAGCCCCCAAATGGTTTAAGCAGCTAAGATGCTGTTAGGTCTTTCCCGATGGGATTCTGGCTTTGAAGCGACGTTTTCGTGACAGCGAACCTGATCTTATCGAGATTGCATGCTTTCTTGGATTACAAATGAGCGACCGCTGGTGGTGTCTGCCCACTGGTGAACAACTCACCGATCTTGCTGATGGAGGCATCGCTTTCGAATGGACGCTATCTGGGTGGATCTGCAATCGAAGAGACGTCCTAGTGGGATCCGGGATGTGGCTGCCTTGGTGCTCTCGAGTTCATGTGCTGGTCGGCAAGAGACACCGAGGAGTTGGGATCGTCGGAGCTTCGCTCGCGAACGCCGACCTCTCGATCTTCGCTTGTTGCCGTGGCTGAGGCTTCTTCTGAGTGGGAGTTTGTAGAGGAGGGTTGCGAATCAGAAACTTCGGTCGATCTTTGAGCGTTTGGATGACCAGGTGACATGAGCAGCGGACGCGAAACAGTCCCGCTTTTCGGCACAAGACTTGAGTGTGTGAACCGTCCATTGTTTGTATCAGTTCTATTGTTGTCGCTATGCGTGACAGGTCGAGCGCTCTGCGTGGACGTGATCTTGGAGCAGGCAAGGACGGGCACCCTTGCACTGCCGCGATGTTATGCTCGCAGAGGTGGAGGATATCGGTTAGGCCGTGGACACTGGATTCTGGAAGTTCGTGCCCCAGCCAGTACGCTGGGTGTTCATGCGCGTGTCTCTGGCATGGGGGTGTACATACTTCAGAACGTCGATGGTTTTCCATTCGTCGGGCACGTATCCCGCCGGTGATTCGGGAAAGAGTTGCCCCGGCCCCAGCAACCTCTGCGGCAGCGGCGACTTCCCAATGACCATTCGTCGAGCCTTCTTCGCGTAGGCTTCCAATCTAGAGGTTTCCAAGCATTTTCTCTGCGCCGCAGTCAAGGAAGACGACGCATGTGCCGGTGCCTGTACTGACATACTCGCCTATCCGCAATCTCACGTGCGAGTCTCATAAACTTGAAAAATCCAATAATTCGCAAGCGTTTGCGGGGTCCACGCCACATGCTCAGTCTACTCAGTATCGAACATGCTCCGTTTTCACGCTGATACCCACACATACTATGTAGCAGGTGAGCAGACGAATGTTCGGTGACGGGCATGATCCACTCCTTTTGCCATGGCTTCGACGCGGATGTTGTCATACAAGGCATGATGTCCGGAAACCATTGGCCTAGGGCTGCCTATCTCAAAGACGAGGTGAGCGCTTCCGCTCTCTGTCGGCTCTGCCTATTGGATTCGAGGTTACTCGAGTTGTTTTCGAGGCAGCCTCGGGACGAGCCGCGGATCAGTTCAGTCCTCCGTGGGCTGTGGAAGACGGGGGAGGCGCGGGAGGACATTACGTGATTGTGTCTTAACCCGAATAAGATCAAAGAGAGGTGGGCGCGGCATGCTGCGGATGCAGCCCATTACGGAACGTGGATGCATGCATTGTTTGCGGCTTACTTGAACGGTGTCGGTGTTCCTACGTCGTCGCCTGAATTCCGCATGTTTGCCGACTTCATGTCTAGCTTCGCTTCTCCTGTTACAGCCTTCCGAACAAAATGGGTGATATACGCTGATCGCGAGAAGTTGGCTGGTGCCATTGATTTCTGCGCAAAGATGCCGGATGACACCTTCATTATCGTCGACTGGAAGCACACGGCGGGCTTGCGGGGCAAGTTTACATCGTGGAATCGGATGAAGGCACCGTTGGATCACCTGGATGATTGTGCCGGCATGCAGTACAGGCTGCAACTCAATTGCTATCGGTACATCTTGGAAACATATTATGATCTGGTGAATTCACGGATGTTCGTGGTGTGCTGTCATCCGGATCATTCCGCGCATCCTTTTGTGGACGTGGTGCCTCGGATGGAGTGGGAAACTGAGATGATGATGGCCTGACAGGGGGTCGGTGTAGGTGATGTGCGTTGACGTTTGACGTACCGCTGGACCTTATGAACGGCTGCGTTGACTGTGTGAAATCAGGGTAATCAGGGCCCTGCTTGCCGTGAACCTTTCATGTTGAGACTAGATGTCCATATGTCATGACTGAGGGAAGAAGGCCCGATAGCAACCTCCAGCGTGATTGTCGCGCGTTCCGCTTTCGCTAGTCCTTGGCCAGGTACTTCGCAAACATGAGCGAGCTTCTCGGCATTGCCGACTACTAAGCATGTGGCCTGCCTTGCAGGGTTCAGGGTATAGTGTTGCTCGCAGTTCGGCGTACTCAGGCTGGCTGATGACTCAACGCCGACCTCTCGTTCTTCTGCTGTCTTGAACACGCAAGATGCCACGCGGGAAGAGCTGTAGTGTTTTCGGACTGCAGCCACGTTGGGACACATGTGAGTGCGTAGGAGCATCTCTTGGATCTCATCTCACATATCAAAAACGTTTCTGTACAGTGTCAATGTTCGGAGCAGTGCGAAGAGTGCGCAATCCGAACTGGCAAGAGAAAGTCAATAATGACGTACGAAAGTGACGGGGAGCCAAGCCAGGAAGATGGTAGTCGGCTGAAAGGGTTGAAATACGATGGTGAGATCTGCACATAGGAGATTGAACGCATGCCCTCGCTCTTGCAAAATTATGCACGTTGCCTTGCAGTACATAATGAACCATTGTTACCCATGCTGTCAGGCGAAGCTCCTGCACTTCATGCACAATGTTCCGTTTGAACCGTGCGAAAACAAAACCTCTTTTCCGCGCCCGCGCACCGACGTTTCGTGTATTCCGCGTTATATTTGCGTTATGGGTGACTGCTTTCTGCATTCGGGTTCGTGGCTCCTATCAGGTCTTTGGGTTTTAGGGTTTTGGGTTTGGGGTTTGGGGTTTAGGGTTTTAGGTTTAGGGTTTGTAGAATTGCAAGCCAGATGGCCATCACTCACCACGCACATGAGGCCCCCGCCTTTCCATCGGTAGACTCGCATTGGGCAGTTGCCATCCTCCAGGTGCAGAGACTCGCATGTACGGGGACTCTTGAAGACTTGTTTAGGGTTCTTATGAAGTTCTTATAATATGATTGAATAGAATAGGGTTTTGGGGGGGGTATAGTATAGTATAATTATGTAGGAGACGTAAGTGAATACCATTCGAAAACATTCCGACCCCTATATTGCACCTTCGGTCTCGGGCTGCTTTTTTAGACACACGCGGGGCTGAACCCTAAACCCTAAACCCTAAACCCTAAACCCTAAACCCTAAACCCTAAACCCTAAACCCTAAACCCTAAACCCTAAACCCAAAGCTCCGAGATCCTGACCACCTAATGTTTGAAATATTCCCCTTTATTGCAAGGGGTACGATCATCCCATTTCAGGACTGTCAGAACAAGGGGCATCCCAAGGAAATCCTCAGGAGCTACCTAAAGAAGGGGGAGGGGCGGGGAGGAAGGGAGGGGGGTCAGTGCTATGGGGCCTGAGACTTCAAGACTGGCTAAAAAAAATTGCTCTTTTCAAGAACCCCCCTGAAAACACCAAGACAGGCGCGGGCCTCCAGGCAGTCGCTCTGCATCTTGGGAAGCTGGAGCCCTGGCCGCGCCTTCTTTGCTTGGCGTTTTGGGGGGGCGGCTTCGCCAGAGACGCGTTTTGATGTCACTGCCATCTGACAGCAAAGCCAGGGAGTCCTAAGCCTAAGCGTTTCAGGGGCTTTGGGGGGGGTTTGGGGGGCCATCCGTGGGAAATCCAAGAATCCAAGAAGGCATCGCAACCCTGGAGGCCTTAAAAGGCCCTTAAATGGCCCTTAAACCCCCAAACTGCTCCAAGCTGCCTTCTTGCCACCCCAGACCTGGGAGAGCAGAGGAGTCTCGAAGGACCCCTAAAACCCTAAACCCTAAACCCTAAACCCTAAACCCTAAACCCTAAACCCTAAACCCTAAACCCCTGGGTGTTTCGGGGGCGCTCCCAGGATCCAAGGTTGCAGTAGCGAACCATCTCTTGGGCCCCAAAAACGGATGCTACAAAGAGGGTTTCCAGAATCCCCCCCCTTTCTGGGGGGGGGACCCCTTCTACCCCAATGGTAGGACCCTTATGTTTATGTGGCCTTTTGGGCCCTTGAGAGACCGTCAAAGAGACCCTGAAGCCCTAAAACCCAAGCTTTTTTAACTCAAGAACCCCCAAAACCCCCGGATCCTGAAGCTGTCACACCCGAGATCTCGAAGCCCGGAAGCCCGCTTAGGGAGCACCGGGGCGCGTGGTTCATGGCGGACGCGCCGCACCGGCACTCCACTCCTGGGGGCACTCTTCAAGGCTTCGAGTGCTGAGGTTTCCTGGTGGTCCTAAAAGCCCTAAACCGTAAGCACCCGAAACCGCAAGCACCTGAAGCCTAAACCCGAAATCCCCTGACCCCCTGGACCCAAAAAAGTGGGGCAATTGAATCTTAGGCCTGGACGTCTTGGGACTTTTGACCCGACTTGCCGGCGCTTGGGGATGGGGGTGAGTTTTTTGGTACTATCTTCTATGGGTCCTCTAAAAGGTTGAGGGGTTTAAGGGGCTTAGGATTTAGGGGTGTTAGGGTGTGGGGTTCAGGGCTAAGGCTGAGGGTTTCGTGTTGAGGGGGGGGGTTTAGGGACTGGGATTCAAAATCAGGCCCCAGTCCCGTCTTAGGAACCAGCAGAGGAGATGCCTTGAACCACGGCGAAGAGGTCCAAACCCTCGCCGATGCAAAACCTTAGTTGGCTCTTGCTGGGGGCGGGGGGCGATTGGAGGCACTTCCAAAAAGCTCCTGTGCTACCGAGATGGAGCTGCTTGTTTTTGCATCTTGCTTGTTGCAGCATGTGTTTGCTTCACGGGCGAATAGGGACGTGCCAATATCTAGGATTGGGGAGTTATACACAAGTCTGAATAGGAAGGCCCATAAACCCCAAGCCCTTAACCCCTAATTCGGGAGCACTTGGGCCTTTGCTTTGAAGGGGGGGGAAGAAAAGCCTTGAGCTGCAAACCCGCAGTCCCGGGACTTTCTGGAGAGCCGGGTCGCTCGAAGCAGAGGGCCGGCGTCATGGCATTGCTGCGCATGCGGAAGAACCTGGGGGCTTTTCTCGGATTTAAGGGCTCTTAGTGGCCCAGAAAGGGGTCTTTGGCTTTGGGGCTTTTGGGGAGGCTCCAAGGAGACCCGATATCACCGCCCTCAGGTGCGTCACTGCATGTTTTGTGTTCTTCCATATGCCTACATTTCCAGCTTTGAAGGCATCTTGGACACCCACACACGTCCCCCAAGCACTTGAGGAACCCAGACACTTTGCGCACAGGCTTCGGTAGACTTCGAGAAACCCTAAAGTTCCAATTCTTTTGGGGGTAGACGGGCGCAGTCGAGCGCTCAGCGCCGGGCTAGAGTCGCCTAGCTTTGTCTTTTAGATATACGGTGGTACCACAAAATCGCTTTTGGCTTCAGACGCTGGCCTAAAGGGAGGCTGGGCAAGCCTGACCCTTGCCTGGCGTCCGCCCCTCGGGTTCGGGTGGGAAATCACTGGGAGCCCTCCCGAACGCACCCGACACCCGCTGCCCTCTCATTCTGTTGGTGGGCGCCGTCCAGCGCACTAGTTTAGTGACTGCATATGTTACCCTCACCCGAGGCCGCCCGACCCTGGCCCCCCCCCTTTGAGGCTTTCCCGACTGCGGGCCTTGCTGGACCAGGGCTTTTCAGGCCGGGGCCCTGGGGCTTTTGAAAGACCATTGCGACGGCCCCAATCCCTGCGAAGCCCCCGAACTTCTGAGGTTCTGGAGGCCCCTGAGTCTGGGAGGGTTGTGGCAACAGGCTTTTCAACACGGTCGATGCAAAAAAACAACAATGGAAGGCCGCAAAATCCTTAATTTTCGCTCGGATGATTCTCATCCAGACTTGAAGAAAAATGCAATGAAAAGGCCCTCCGGCCGAAGACGTCCCCCGCCCCAAAAGCTAAGTTTTCTCCCGAAAACTGGTACTGTCTCCATCTTTGTATAGTCAGGTTTGGGCTCGGCTTGATCCAACGGGCTTCTTTTTGAGTGGTGTTTGGGCGGTGGGGTGGGCATACTTCTGCATACTTCTGCGCACTTACCAGCGCGCGATCTTGCCGAGAACGCCCTGAAGCCTAAGCAACAAACCCTAAACATGGAACCCGGAACCCCTGAAACCCCTGAAACCCCTGAAACCCCTGAAACCCCTGAAACCGTAAGTCGAGATGCGGCATCCCACCGTTGCAGGGCGTGCCATCCGCGTGGTCGATGCACTTTGCGTCAGCGACCTGGACATCCTCGCGTGCCCAACCCCCTCCTTTCCCGTGCTGGAGATTTAGGGTTTGAGGTTTAGGGTTTAGGGCTTAGGGCTTAGGGCTTAGGGCTTAGGCTTTGGGTTTCAGGGCTCAAGGGGCTTAAGGGGTTTTAGCGGGCGGTCCTTGTTCTCCAGCAGCTCAGCCTCACTTTCCGCTGCGCCTGCCAAGCCCGAAACCATCCTAGACCCCATGGCCAACTTCTGACGACTGGTGGTCCTAACGGGTTTAGAAAAGCTCCCACTACATCCACCTCCGTGCCCCCGGAACTGCTCACGTCGAACTGAGATCCGCAACCGGGAAGCGGCGTTCTGTCAAGTCCGCGTGACCCTGAACGAGTATGTGCGAAGGTGATGTCTGTGATACGTCCGAACCTGACCCCAGGACATCGAACACCTTGAGGACTACATGAACCCTCAAAGGGTTTGTGGTCCACATACCTTGATAGGGATTGTAGCAGCAAAGGGTATAGGGACCCCAACTTCGGGGGTTCATTTGGCCCCCAAAGTACTCCCAGGAACAGGACATCTGCGCCCCTGTCTCGCGCCTAGCGGAAAGCAGCCCAGGCATTCAAAGTTGCCGTCATCCTCGTTGTCCACGGTGTCTTCGCCTCGGCGTTCGGTGAGTCTTGGGGCTTCCGTAGTATTCCATCTCCTCAAGGCTTCCAAGC